AAGCTTGATTAGCACTCATAGTATCTGCTCCAAAACCTTAAATTGAAAGATAAGTTATAAGTCAGATTGTACGAAATGAAACGAAGATCTTTTAACCATAGTAGAATGCACAGTTGGGTCTAGAGATCAAGAAGAAGGGTGAGAAGATAAAATGCAGCCTGGATATGGGAAAGTTCTAAGTTCTAACGTTGTAATATTCTGTCTGATGAATACAAATCTTCAAGAGTGTATCAAGAATCATAGAGAGCTCTCGGTTGCTGCAAATTATGGGTAACATCAATCATTTAATGTAAAAGATAATATATACAACTCAAAATGTTATAACTTCATAGCAGGCAAAGCATGCTTTCCTTGTCAGCCATGAATCTGCATATAAATCACCTATGAAGAGAAGGCAGCAAATTAAAAATACAAATTAGGGGGACCATCTGCAGAAATTTTATCCATCCCCAAGATGAAGTCATTTTTCATTTTATAATATAATTTTCAATTTAAATTCAATAGTATCACATTATTGAATTTATTGCAGAAGTATTTTCACCTTTAGTTCAATCATAGTTAAGTCTTAACCAAGAACAATTGCTCATGAAACTAGGAAAACATATGAGAACTCTTTCCCTTGTAACATAGGCAAAACACCCACCAAACATATCCTAGATTCCTAGTCACTGTGTATATTGGTAAAATTGTTAATTTTAGATAATATCAAATGACAGAGTGTAACATAACTGCTTCTTAATCTTGATTTAAGAAACTTAATACAGAGAGCATGTGAAGCACTACATATATACTTCTACCATTTACTAGTAAGAATATACCCAAAAAAAAAAAAAAAAAAAAGATGCACGTTGGACAAATATGATCACCAGTTCAAAAAAATATTTTGCAAATCGAAATACATTTTCTGATGTTTTATTACACAGCATATTTTAATTCAAGAAATTCCATCAGGTTTCCAACTCCCTTAATGACTTAATGTGCCAGAAGTTGGGGCAATGACTCAAAAATGTTGTAGTTTCAATGAATTAAGTATGCCAAAAAATACTAGAAAGGAATGCTGCTACACAACTATCCAGTGAAATACGTCTAAACAATTCGTGCCAGCATCCAAATCATATCAAGTCATCAACTAACTTGATCTACAAGCATGTACAGAACTGTGGCACAGGTTTAAAGATGGCTTCCCTGAGTTATATAATTTCATAATCCCCTGCATAGTCAAAACTACTCTGTATAAGCTAATAGCTCTCTGTATCTAAAAGGCCACTTAAAGTAGTGGTGCAATGACTTTCTGATAATGGTTAGTTGATGACATAAATAATCAGATCGTATACCTAAATGGATTCCACTAAGAAAAATAGAAAGTCATTAGGAACTAAATTCACTCACCATCTCCCTAACTTTAAAAATGATACTACATAATCTAAATCTTGAAAAATGCAGCCAAGCCTTGGAGTACTTGAATTAGCGATATTCCCAACACTTTGTGAGTTCCTAAAATGTGGATTAAAACTTGCCACATGAGGGAGTGGCTATTTTGTGAGTGGTAGATGTAGGGGCATCTAGCATTGTTCATTATGTAATGTGCTATATTAATGAATAATTTTACTTGTAAGGTGTCCTAGAGTATCAAACAAGGTAAATGCTCATTGCCCCATGAACTCTATGAGCATTGTCATTTTATTGACATAGTCAACTTTTCTATAGTGTTATTTACTGTTCTGGAACTCACACCACATTCCTGTGGACAAGAAAGGAGAGATATTCCAAGTGTTTAATGCTTAGACTAATTTGTTCCTAAAATGTGGATTACAAGAGTAGCATGGTTATGATTGAACTGAATAACAAGATTGATAATTTGGTGATAAAATTGTGCAGCCATTGCGTGTTTAATATGTTTGTTGGCATTCGTTTTCTGATACAACCAGTTCACTAATTCAAGTACTCCAAGTTTCAAGTGTTGGAACATCACCTTGGATTCCATATTTCTGAAAGCATAAAGACCTGATTACCTCAAAAAATGGGATTAGAAAGAGATCTAGCCAAGCCTTCCAACCTCATCCGTGAATTTGTGAATCCCTCCCCATCAAGTATGTTCAAATCTGAGAAAAAAAAAACCCCTAGTATGAATGGAAAAAACAAAACGACCGACCTGTTGTTGAAGTCCTCGCCGCTGGTGTCGAAGTCGAAGTCGAAGCCGAAACTCACTGTCGCTGCTCTCGCCTCACAAACAGTCGTCGCCGGTGAGAACATTTATAAAAAAAAGGGTTGCAGAAAGAAAACTATAGATCTGAAAAAGAAGAAGAAGCTTGAGAGGAGGAAAGACAGATCGGAGAATACAAGGGCATGGTGGTGGAGCGTGGCTGGGGCGCCACCGACCGGTGGAGAAGAAAAATCTGAGAGAGTCGGCGGCTGTGACGGTTCGCGGTGGATCTGAGAGAGTGAGAAGGGAGAGTGTGGCGATGTTTTCTTTGTAAGCTTGGGTCCGAACACTTTAATTGGATTTTTGCAGATTGTTTTATTTCTGAAGAGCGTTTTTTCATGGCGGTAAATGATAAAAATTTTCCGCACAATATTTTTATTTTTTCCTGACGTTTTATGCTAAAATTAATTTTTAAAACAAAACATTTAGGGACGTTTATTAAAAAATGTCATTGATTCTATATCTTTACTGACAAAAATATTATATTTCGTCAGCAAATATTACGAAAATAAATTATTGTCTCTATCAAAATATATAGTGACGTTATTCAATATAACGTCACAAATTGTAATATTTAGCAACGTTTTCTAGAGCGTCGTTAAAATTTTCGTCGGGAAATGAAAGATTTCCTGTAGTCCGCTAGGTAGTCGACCTTCTCGTTCCAACTTTTGCTTATTTATATGCGGAATCTTGTAATTGTTCCCTCCAAAAATTTTCATGACTTTAACCATGCATAGTTGTAGAGTCAAAAAAACATTACTAAGACTTTTCGTTGATATATCATCAAAAGCTTTTTGAGTAGCAACAACAAGTTCATCAACATTATGTGGGGCTTCTTGATATTGCAAAGACTGAATAGCTCTAAAAAAAATCAAGATCTAGCACATTCATGTCCAGGCTATTTGGAGGTTGACATGTTAAGCGAATGTCAAAGCTATCTTTTTGGGCAGCTTCAAGAAATTCACCATCATTTACACCAATATGTGGCATTGCATTATCTTGTTGAATATATATATATATATATATATATATATATATATATATATATATATATATAGACTTTGAACTACTAAGGTTCATTTTCCCGTATTGCAGGCAATACATAATCAATCAACCATTTCCTAGTAACTTCTTTATTTACTGATTCAATTGGCTTAGTTACCAGTGTTCCGGCTTCTCGATTTTTACTTCTACGCTTAGCTGCTTCCTTATAAATAAATGGAAATATTCCAATTTTTCCATCAAACATTTCATTTCTCCCTGAATCAAATCGGGGGCGAGCAATAGCACATAGGAACATCACTTTGGCTATAAACTTTTTACTTTTACAAGTACGTTATGGTTCGTCTTCATCGGGCAATGGGTAATATTTTTGAGAAGCTTTAGAGAGGAAGAACCATTTTTCATCTATATGAACAGGATCATATATATCTATGAAAGATGGATTATGTGGAGGTGAATTCGAATCTATCATATATATGCAAAATTGTAATCTAACCTTTCAATTTTCCTCGGTTAATAATGGCTTTATAGCATTTGAGTGTGACTTCAAGGATCCTTCTTTAACTCTTCTATGCAGACTTGTCTTTGACATATTTAGAGCAGTAGCCATTGAGCGGATTATTATACGACGATTCAAAGGAATTCTGGAAACTTCATCAGGACTAATCTGAATCTTTTTTCTGCCAACATTTCCTGCCAAGTTCATAGAAGTATCAACAGGCACACCATTTTTAACACAATCAATCCCCTTCCTCCATATTCGACTAACAGTCCTTAAAGAAACAGAGTGTATACTTACAACATCTCTAATTGCTTCATGTCTTACTTTTCCTTCAACATTGTAATTCAATAAAGCTTCAAATATAACCTTTCTTTTATCATTAGTCACTCTCTTAACAGATTTGGATATTTGAACATCATTAGGATTTTCTTCTTCTAAAACCTCCATTAAGAATAGAGCCGTCAAAACAAGCTTAGCCAGTCAGGCCGCCTCGCCCCGCCACTACTTAGGTAGGGGGCGGGTTTCGAAAATACAGGACCATTTAGGAGCGGGCCTTTTTGGCCCGTCGCGCTTAGGCCCGCGGGTGTGGCGGGGCGGGCCTGGCGGGCTGCCCGCCATTTTATTTATTTTTTAATATAAAATATTCTAGAGATATTTTAGAGAATAGAGATACTATTAGTCTATTTCTTAAGTCAGACGCGCAGTCCGCTGTCCGCCCACAATTCCACAAACCGCAAAGGCGCAAACCCTAGATCTACATCTACTTCCTAGAATTCTCTTCCACTCCGCAGAGTCTGGCCACCGCCAGTCCGCCTCCAGTAGTTTCGCCACCACCAGTCCGGCCTTCTTCCACCACCGCCAGTCTGCCTCCGCCAGTCCGCCTCCAGTTATTCCGCCACCACCAGTCCGGCCTTCCTCAACCGCCAGTCCTGCCTTCCTCCACCGCCAGTCCGGCCTTCCGCCACAATAGGTAATAATTTTATTAGTGTATTATTTCATTGATAACAATAGGTAATAGTTTTATTTTTATTATTTTTGTTTAAGCAGTGTATTTTTTTATTAATTTTATTTTTATTATTTTTGTGCGTCTGAGCCAGTGTATTGTTTTTTTTGGAGTGTAAAAGTAATTTTTTCAGTGTGTTCATTGGTGTATTATTTTATTGCAGTGTAAAATTAAAAAAAAAAATTGAACCAAATCAAGATAATGCGGGGGTTGATATGGAAGCTACTCAAGCTAGTACTGCATCAAAAAGTAAGTGTAAAACCTCATATGTTTGGAATTATTTTAAAGATATGGGGCTGGCTGAAGATTGCATACAAAGAGCTCAATGTATAGGGTGCAAAAAGATTTTTAAATCAGGGGATAAAACACATGGAACATCAACACTGAGACGATATATGAAATCATGCCAATTGTTGAAAATTCACTTTCACGATATAGGTCAAATGATTTTTGATGTTGATGGAAAAATTAGGTCTAAAAAATTAGATATAGAGCTAGCCCGTGAGGTGTTTGCTTCTGCGATTGTTGAACATGATTGTCCTTTTGCATTTGCTGAATATTCTGGTTTTAGGAAGTACCATAAACTTCTCAATCCTGATGCTTCAGTTCTTTCTAGAAATACTATGGTTTCTGACATTAACAAGTTATATGTGAAGGAGAAATATAAACTTCGACAAGTGATGACTAGTATTCCAAATAGGATTTGCTTGACTTCTGATTTATGTACTTCTTGTACTACTGAAGGATACCTATGTTTGATTGGTCATTTTGTTGATGAGAAATGGAAATTAAAGAGTAAAATACTTGCGTTTGAAAAGATGCCTCCTCCACACACTGGTTTTGAATTGACACAAAAAATATATGAAATCTTGAAGGATTGGGGGATTGAAAAGAAGGTGTTTTCTTTGACTTTGGACAATGCAAGTAATAATGATAGTATGCAAGATAAATTGAAGGATCAATTGACTATGCATGATAGTTTGTTGTGTGAGGGGGAGTTTTTCCATATTCGCTGTTCAACTCATATTTTGAATTTGATTGTCCAAGAAGGTTTAAAAGTTGCCAACCAAAGTATGCATAAAATTAGAGAATCTGTGAAGTATGTCAAAAGTACTGAAAGTAGGATGCAAAATTTCAAGAGTGTGTGGCTGAAGTTGCTGGCGTTGATACCTCAATTGGCTTACGGTTGGATATGCCAATCCATTGGAATTCTACGTATTTAATGTTGGATAGTGTCATTCAATACAAAAAAGTTTTTAGTCTTCTTCAATTGAGAGATAAGAATTTTAAGGCTTGTCCTTCAAATGAAGAATGGATGTTAGGTGAAAGATTGTGTGCTTTCTTTGAGCCATTTTATGAAATCACGAACTTGATTTCTGGTTCTTCTTATCCTACATCAAATGTGTATTTTTTGCAAGTTTGGAAAATTGAAAGGTTGTTGAAAGCCGGTTTAAGTGATGAAGACACATTGATGAGTGGAATGTGTAAAAAGATGTTAGAAAAATTTGACAAGTATTGGAGTGAATATAGTGTAGTGCTTGCTTTTGGTGATATTCTTGATCCACGGTTTAAGTTAAAAGTATTGGAGAAACTCTATGCTAAGATTGAGACAGATCCTACTAAATGCAAAGAAAAGATTGAGTTGTTGAAAACAAAGCTTCACAAGCTTTATGATCAATATGCGAGTGTTATTGGATCAAGTTCATCACAATTACGTTCTTCAAATGTCACGCACTCAAAAGTGGAAAGTCAAAAAGTAGTGACAACGTTGGGAAAAAAGATGGTTTGATGTAAGTATTCTAACACTTTATTCTAATATTTTTATTATATTATCTTAGTTGCTACTTGCTAACACTTTATTCTAATATTTTTATTATATTATCTTAGTTGCTACTTGTTTGTTATCTTGTATAGTTATTGTGTTTGAACTAATGCAGGATATTCTAGATGTCACTGATGAAGTTGTTACACCTGTTGAAATTTCTGAATTGGATCGTTACTTGGACCAGCCATGTTATGAGATGAAATTTTATCAAGATTTGAACGTGTTAAGTCATTGACGGGGTCTTGTTCAAGGATATCCCATACTTTCACGCATGGCGCGTGATCTTCTGGCAATTCCTATAACTATTGTTGCATCGGAGTCCGCATTTTCTATTGGTGCACGTGTTCTCACAAAGTATAGAAGTTCTTTGTTGCCAGAAAAAATGCAAACTCTTATTTGCACTCGTAATTGGTTGCATGGTTTCGAACCAGGTAAGTAAATTTATAAAGTCTTATGTTATATTGAATTGATTTTTTATATATAAAAATTAGTAATTTAATTTTAAATATTTTTTATGTATTTTATATATAGATTGTGATGATGTTGATAAAGTTGAGCAAGTAAATGAAGGAGATGAAGGAGATGGAGCAGATGAAGGAGATGAAGTAGATGAATGAGATGATATGAATGAGAATGAATTGATTGAATGATGGGATGTCTAATGGTTGATTAATTTATGAACTTGTGATTTGTGAACTTTATAATTTTAGATTATGCACTTTAAAATTATTGTTATGTGTAATGTTTTTAGATATTGAACTTTGAAGTTGTGACTAGTTTGATGTTTGATGAATTATGAACTTTGAACTAATATTTAATGTTTGATTATTATGTTTTATGTGAGTTATGACTTATGTATCAATTTATTTTAATTAGTTTGATGAACATTTTTTTTTAAAAAGATGGGGTTTGGGCGGGGGCCCGCCTAGCCCGCGGGTTACTGACGGGGCGGTTCGGACCTGCCAAACCCAAGCCCATTTAGGAGCGGGCCTTTTTAGCCCGCCCCGCTTAGGCCTGCAGCCCGCCCCGCCCCGCCAGCTCGTATTGACAGCACTAATTAAGAAAAGGAAAAAACTAAAGATGTATGGAAGAGTTTTATAAAGAGTAAAAGAAGCTACGAGTATTTTTGCAAAGGTAAATACAGAGTATACTGTCATTTTATTGATGCTCCATATTTTAATCCTTAAAATGTCAAATCAATTTTTGGCGCAAAAAAATTACCGCGATTTTTTCACCAAATCTGATTCTTCTTCTATATCTATATAAATAGAGAGTGAAAACAAAGATCAAGGTGATAATCCAAATTTACCTAAGAAAATATTCTCTCTAGAATCCAAAAAAAAAAAAAAAAACAAAAAAAAAACAAACAAACGCTCCGTAAAAGTAAAATAAAAAATCAACTACTCCAGATTATAGATCCAAAAAAATCAACTATTGTGGAGTATAAATTATCTTCAAAATTAGATTTTTTTTTTTTTTTTTTTTTTTGCAAAAACTAAACCTTAGATGATGTTAAAAAGACTAACTTTTCTTCAATTGAATCGATGATTGCCATTGCTCATGGTTCCAATCAATGGTTGAAAGCTCCTAATGCTAGTTAGAGGAAAACATCGTCGTCCATCAATTTTGTAAAGAAGAAAAACTATAGAGATTTTGCTAGATTTGTGGTGGACTCCATTTTTGTAGAGGTGAGGAAGAAGAAGTGAAAGAGGAGAAAGAATGATGATCTTGAAATCTCAGATGCGTAGATTGTAGAGGTCAGAGAGAAAGCAAAAATACAGATGGCCTGGGTTGTTTGTTTTAATAAAAATACAAATGCCTTATTTCATTTAATAAAAGCACTAGTGGTTGAGTCTAAAGTGATAGAATAGTCAAATCAGCACATGGCATGTTAGGGGTAAAATAGGAAAACCTGTATTCTTTTTATTGCTCCCTAAAAATTCGTGTAAAAGCAAAGTATGACAGTTAATTCGGGACTGGGGGAGTAATAAGTATGGTTCTTAGATACTAGTTACGCGCAAGGAAAGAGAACCCAGAAGAGACAGGCTGATCACAACAACCAATCTCACGCCAATTGTTAAAGGCAGGCAACATGACTCGATTACAGTGCATACGCAGCAGAGATTGGTCACAACATCTAGTTTATCCCCAACAAATCCTGGAGGATGTTTCCAATCCAGAGGAAATCTTGCCCCGTCCCAACGTGACGCCTAGAGTAATCCATACCAGCATGGATCCACAGGAAGAGTAGAGAGGGCTCAATGTGTAAATAGACGTTCAGCTGCCTCAGGCGAGACCTATCTTGAGAAACACCAATGACGACCAGACTAGGAAAACGCAAGGCGCTTTACGAGGCAATTATAGAGGACGAGGGGGAAGAAGAAACCCACCTAGGAGGGTTGCAGATGAAACATAGCACATAGTAGTCCGCGGTTCTTCTAAAGGCAGAGTGATCACTAGAAGAACTGTGCACCACCGTGAGGATTTACCAGGACAACCACTCGAGTTTAGGGACAACTACGAACCCTGAATGATGACAATGGCTTTCTGGAAATGGTTGACCCTCCAAACGACAACATTATGATGGATGACTGTGATACTGGCCTTTATGGCCCCGAAGTGGATAACCACACGCTCTCTTGAGATTGTGCTTGCAATCTTTATCTATGAATTGCTTTGTTTGGAACTGTCAATGAGCGGCATCTAGATCATTCTACCGCTCCTTGAAGCTTCTCATTAGTGAACATAACCCTTTGATTGTGTGCCTTTTGGAACCTAAGGTTTTAGGAGATCATGCAGACAAAATTTGTGCTAAAATTAGCTTTGATGAATGGTTGAGAGTGGAGGCAGTAGGCTTTTCAGGGGGAATTTGGGTGTTATGGAAAGACTCAATTCAGATTGAGGTCATCCATACACATCCGCATTTGTAGTTTTGAAAGTTAGCATGGAAGATAATGAACCTTGGGTTTTGTCTATTGTGTATGGGAGCCCCAACCATGCACTTAGGAGAAATTTGTTCTTAGACCTCTCCCAACAGAAATTCCAAGTCCCCGAACCATAGTTATCTATGGGGATTACAACTCTGTTTTATGCCAGGAAGAAACTAGCAGCACTGATATATTTTCTTTTCCTTTTGTGCATATTTATAGGAATGGGTATTTCGAGAAAGAATGATGGATATTGGTTACTCCGACCCCAAATTTACATGGATGCAAGGACTGACCACCCCATTCAAAGGTGCAAGGCTCGATCGGGCACTTTGCAACCCGATTAGAGGATAAATTTCCTGGAGGCAGAAGTACTACACCTTCTCATGGTGAATTCAGACCACATTCCCTTACTTGTGCGACTGACGAAACCTGCGCAAGGTAACTTTAGCAAATGATTTAGATTCAATGCAGCTTGGTGTACCCATCCTGACTTCCAGGCATGCATTCATCGGAATTGGAGGCCTGACGATGATTTAGAAGCCAACATTACTCACCTAGTAGAGGAGTTGGATGTATGGAACAAGCACACATTTGGCAATATATTTCATAGGAAAAGGCGTGTCTTGGCTAGGACCAGCGGCGTTCAACGTAGTCTAGCGAACTATTACAGGCCGGATCTTATAAAACTTGATCGCAAATTACGTCGTGAGCTCAAAGACATTCTCTATCAAGAAGAGTTCATCTGGTTTCAAAGGTCACGAGAGGAGTGGCTTGTATCTGGCGACTGCAACACACATTATTACCATGCGGCTACTACTTTGAGGAAACTAGCTTCCACAATCAGAGGGATTAGATCCACCTCTAGGGAATGGATTCCCGATGAATCTGAGATTATAAACCACTTACGTAGCTTTTATATTGATCTCTTTTATGAGAATGAAGGATCCATCTGTCAAGCTGTGCAACGTGGATACTTCCCTCCACTGCAGCCTGCGGATTGTACCAAAATAAATAAACCAAAATATTTGTCACAACCTGCTGGGAATTGTGGAAGCACGAAAAGGTTTGGAATGCAAGGAATCCTATGTTTGTTGTAGCGATGCTGACTAAGACTATAACTTTTCTAAATGAATGGCTCAATGCATCATTTCCGAGCACAGAGAAGATTCAACAGTAGGCTTTTATCATATGGGAGAAACCACGGCAAAACACCCTCAAGATGAATGTTGACGCAACGATCGACAATAACAATAATACCATGGGGTTCGGCAGTATAATTAGAGATGCAGAAGGTGACTTTGTTGCTGCTAGAGGCGTCCAATGGAGAGGAAACTTTACGCCAATTGAAGCAAAGGCTGTTGCAATCCGTGAAGCTTTAAGTTGGATCAAGAGCATGAATATGGACAACATAAAAATTGAAACTGACCCTCTAAAGGTGGTACAAAGTTTGAAACATGCGAACGGAGATTCTTCTTTCCATTTAATTGTCAATGACATTAAACACCATTTGAGTACTTTTTATCATGCATTTGCTATTTTTGCTAAACGATCAGCAAATCAGGCAACTCACGCGGTAGCTAAGCAGTCCACCTAATTGTTCGGAGTGGTTCTTGAATCCTCCTTCCTTTTATCTTTAATATCTTGTCTTTGGATCGTATTTAATATATTATGCTTCTCAAAAAAAAAAAAAAAGAAGTAAATGTTCCCTAAACTCCTAGTGCGGTCATTGACACCACATGCGCTGGTCATGCCATTGCCCGACGACCGATGCACATCCTGAGCGGTTGTTTTATCTGTCCAGGTTGACCCTGGCGAGCACCGCCACTTGACCACAGCCTTATACCCTCACTAGCGTCTTCCTCTCATCTGCTCGCCATCAACCCCCACTCCCCGCCGCGTGAAACTTCTTCGATTGTGATTTGAAGATTGCCTTCCAGAATTCTAGCGAAAATCGGATCATTCCACCGGCGTCAGACTGGTAATTTCCTTTAATGCTCGCGCTAAATGTATTATTTCTATTTTCGCAAAAGTTAAAAATGTCACTAACCTTGCTTTAGCGAGTTGCTCCCGAGAATGAGAATGTGAGGTTTTTGGTAGTTATTAATAATTGAGTTTCTTTTTCTTTTGATGAAAAATGCCTAATCGTTACTGAGCAATACTTCAAAAATTTACCTGTTTCTGGAAGAACTTATTGTATTATTTTAAACATAGTATGCAGAACAACAGTGTAAGTTCTATAAATTTGGCATAATTACACTACTTTTCACATGAAATGGTCTTTTCAACAATGGGAAAATGGCTTCAATTCCTCTTGTTGTTGTTGTTGTTGGTTTTTTTTTTTTTTTTTTTTTTTTTTTTTTTTTTTTTTCAATGGGAATTTTATTTTCCTCTAAGAATGTATATATTCCGATATTCAACTTTGTGAGGAATGTATAACATTCTTCTAAGGATGCACATACAGGTCATATATTACAATTCAATGGATGACACTTTATTATACATAACTTCTTAAATGCTACTCATTTTATGCTAAGTAGTTCTTGCAGTTTGTAGGGAGGTGTTGCTTGGCTGGTTTTAACCGTGGACCTGCAGGATCAACAACATGGCATATGAAATAGATGAGCAAAAAAGTAAGTACAGACTACAGTGTACTATATTTAACACTATCACATATTTGCATTGCAAGTCATGTTTGCAACTTATTTCTTACATTTGAAAGGGAAAACTTGTATTTCTAATGATTTCACTAAGGCTATTTACACACATATATACATTTAAAAGACAAAACAACAAAATTTTGAATGGAAGTGAGGATAAAGAGGTAACAACTTGACCTCCTTTGAGTATCTCTAACATTCCCCTCAAACTAGAGCATAGATATTGATCATATGTAGCTGTTACAAATAGACACAAACCTGTTCAATTGTAAACAAATTTGCTAGTTGCTCTCCACTCCATATGTGTGAAGTAGAAAGTATCCTTGCTGAATCTTCTCTCATACAAAATGACAGTTCACTTCAATGTGCTTGTAGCAATATTATTTTCTTCAGCAGTCTGCTTCTTCCATGGAAATTCAGTTGCAAATCTTAACTGAAACTTGCACATCAGAACTATCACTTCCTATTGCTTCCCCTTCCCATGCTGTAAAATTCTACCCAAATCCATGTTACCGTATTTTTCCAGAGAAAAAGCACTATAAAGATCTAAAAGGGAAAAACTGGGCCCTTTCCAAATGTTGCTATTCAGCAACCAGGGTATGCCTTCCCGTAATGTCCATGCTATTCTCACATTGCATCTATTTCCATTCAGCATAAAAACGTATCCTATCAAGGATGTTGAACAACAAACATAAGAACTTTTCTGATCTAACATTATCTCCAGTACTCTCTAACATTAATCAACAGATGCACTTGCACTAAACTGTTGAAATGGAAAAGGTTCATGGTTTTCTTTTTTGGGGATGGCCACAGGGGGTTATCATTGCTTTTTTTCTTTCATGATATGTATCTCTCCTTCAGAATGCTCAAAATGTAAAATCATCAGTTATGATTCTCACAATAGCTGGGAAATTGGAAGAGATACTTATGGAAGGTTATCTATTATTCTATTTCTTGTGGAGTTAAAACCATCATTTTCTAATCCATGTGTTACTTACTACACTTTTCTACATAATGTCCATTTATCCTTTTTGAGCATTTGATATTGACCAAATTGAATTGATCCTTGCAGAGATTGGGTTAGGTCTTATTGGTTTTGGTATCCTGTTCACATTCCTTGCCATCATTCTCTTTTTTGACAGAGGTTTGCTTGCTCTGGGTAATGTAAGAATTTCAATGATCTTTCTGTTTATAATTATCTTTTGACTTTAGCAGAACTAATGTTTACTTCCCGCCTTTGTCATTAGATATTATGGTTGGCTGGTGTATCCCTTTTATTGGGTTGGAGGTCTACTCTGCAAATTTTCACTAATAGAATGAACTACAAGGTACAAAGGGGTTGAAACATATAAGATCCTGAAAAAAGGTCATGTACTAGATTGTAGGATTTTTGCAGTAGTGGGCAAATGCTTTATTATAGCAATTGGGAACTTACTGGCAAATATTATATACTGCTGGAAGTTTCTTATGGCTAATATTCCTGGCACACTGCAGCTGAAATGACATATCTTGTATACTTTTCTTTGATGGAAACTCTAAATGTCTTTCCTCTTTAAGGCTGATACACAATTGTGAACTACTAGTTCCTGATTCCTGCTTCTGCAAAATCTCTTACCTTCAAGACTCCTAAGTTCAATCTTTGTTGGCTATCTTGTGGCTGAATCTTGGATGCTTGTCATCCCTGAATCTTCTGGCTTACTAATCTTCACAATTTTTCTAGCTCTCAGTTTATGCCCTACTTTCTTAGACTCTCTGCTTATGATCTATTCCTCCAGTATTGTGTCTGAGTATACTTCGTTGACTTATTAGCATTGATGCATGTCATCCCGGGGTCTTCTGTCCTAATCTTCACAATTTTCTAGTCCTCAGTTTATGTCCTTCTTTCTTTGTTGACTCTTTGTTTATGGCTTATTCCTCCATATTGTGTTGGTATTATTATCATTTGTAAATTGATTCCTGTGTAAGGTTTGGAGTGTTAAGCAGTTTCCAGTAAATGGTGCTAAATATTTAATTGTCCGCATCAATATAGGGCTCAGCTTCAATTCTTCTTGGAATCTTCTTAATATTTGTTCGTTGGCCAATCTTGGGTATAATTATGGAAATATATGGCTGCATTGTTCTCTTTGGGTGAGCTCCTGATTTTATACATTTACAAATGATCTATGATGTCCCCTTTTCATTTTATCCTTTAATTCCTTTTCCCATGTGATGTTACTAAATTCTTGTTTCTTTGATATGTTTCATGCAGTGGTTTTTGGCCATCTGTCAAGGTTTTTCTTTATCAGATTCCTGTCATTGGATGGATACTAAGATACCCTACCCTGGTAAGTGTGCTTTTATCTTCCTACATTTGATCAGTAAATGTGCTATAGTATATCTTGGATCATTTAAGGCAGTCTCAACCAGTGAAAGCATACCCAGGGCATTAGGTACATATTTCCATTTGCAAAACAGGTCCAGTTTAATTGCAGTGATCTATGTTACCTTTTGCAATTTCTAAGCTATTGCTTTTCCATGTTGCCCTAAATTTATCTGCAAGAACTCATTTCTTTAAGAATGATCGATATAAACAAGCCATGTCCATCTTTCTCTTTCAAATCCATGGACTCCAATTAACTACATCATTGATTTAGATTTATAAGCTGAAGATTTTTTTTTCCCTAACCTCTGTTAGTTGAAAGGTTTTCTAAACTGTTAATGTAAGTTCTAATTTTCTAGTCACTGTATTGGACACTACTTTTATCAGATAAGGTTTGGATACTAACTGCATATGTGGAAAATTACTGGAAAAGATGTTTTTAAGAGAGTGTTTACTTCCCAAACATGACAGATTATTGGAAGGCAGAAAGAAAAGTTTTATGAAGTAGTAGTCAATTTTATCCAAATCAAGGTAGTGAATGGGAAAAGCTAGAGTGAGTGAGATTTCTTTTGGTGTTTGTATAATGGGAGTGTGAAATGGAAGGAATGTTATTTGGTCTCCATTAAAGTGAAGACCATTTAGGTCTCATTGGATGCCTTACCATGTCAGATCAAGATTGGTGAATCGGTTTAAGCCTGACATGCTAAATTCAAAATTACATTATCTATGATGTAAGTGATGATATGAACTGGAAAAGTAAAGCAGGTTTACTTCAAGACTGACCTGCTAAAGTTCCAATTTCAGGTCTTACAAGAAATAGATTTTCTACAAACCCTACCTGCTAAAAACTCAAATTGCCAAATCTGTAATCATAGTTATCACGGCGCCCTGTTAAGTCGCGGCGCCTCCCGACCGACTTGTCGCCTAGGCGACTAGGCGACGCCTAGGCGACAAGTTAGGAAGAACAATATATATATAATTATATATATTATATATAATTATATATATATTAATATATATCTAAAATTCTAAAGTTTAAACATGCTAAAGTCTAAACTCTAAACAATTAAACATATTCAAGTATTCAAGCATTCAACATATTAAGGTACCAAGTTACCAACTACATAACACACAAGTAACACAACTACACAAGTAGAATACTAGAATAATCAACAAGACAACAATATCCAAGTTCAAAGTCTCAAAGGTACATCAAGAAGTCATCAATATTTGTTTCTCTCCCATTGCCATCATTATTATCTTCATTTCCCACTTCATCATCATCTTGAACATCATCCTCATCTTCAATGTCTTCATCATCATTAGGAAAATGCTCTTCTTCATTTTGTTCTTCCTCATCTATCCTAGAACTAGAAGGAGTACTAGTAGAAGCATTGCGGCGTCGTGAATAGCTCAACATTTGTGCACGTGAACCTTCCCCCGCGTGAGCTCTTGTAGAAAGATGAGAGCCCTCAAGATTGTATGATGCACCACTTGCTTCATCAACAAGCCTCCATGAAAGATCACCCCCGGGATGAACATCATCACTAGATTCACCACCATTAATCCATTCATTGTCCCATTGGAACTCTTCTAAGACCAATGGATTAAAGTTAGAGCCTTGTTCACGCATCTTTTGAAACCTACTTGCAATTTTGCGATTGTATTGAACATAGACCAAGTCGTTCAATCTTTTATGCTCTAAGCGGTTTCTTTTCTTTGTATGGATCTAAAAAAGTAAAAGTAGAAACAAAAACAAGTTTAAAATTCTTGTATTAAAATTTGAGATAAATTATAATTTCTACAATACTATTTACTGTTTTACTAATTAGGAAAACTATACTCACAAATTCAAATGTGCTCCAATTGCGCTCACAACCGGAAGATGAACAACAAAGGCTTGTGATGCGCATTGCTAGTGTTTGAAGCTCAATGCTAAGTCCACCAAAAGCATTCCACCAATCAACTACAAAATAAGTTTAAGATTTATAATATTTAATATACTTTGTACTTAGTGTCTTAGTAGTTATTTACTTAGTATGATAGTATTACTTACGAGGAGTCTTTGCTTTTTGTTGCTTGACTGCTAATGGCATTCCAAAGTCATTCCTCATATTATCGAAGTTATCTGCTTGATTGCTGATCTTCACTTGCAAGTCATCATCGTCAATCATCTTATGAAGGATTGCATTGAACATGGCTCGTTGCTTACGAGCACATGTAGTATCCGTCGCCTTAAGGTCAAAGTATTTAGAGGGATTTAAAAATAAGGCGGCTCCATACAAATCCACTCCCATCTGATCATCCCATCTTCGTTCTACAATAGCCATCAACTTTCCCAATAGCCTTGGCTTGCTTGCAAATGATTCATTGAGCTTTTTCTTAGCAGTCAACATAGCCATCGTAAGCTCGGGCATAGCTGGAGTACTATCAGCATCAACGATCCTCAACACAATCAGAATGGGATGTGATGCCCTCAAGCAATCCTCAACCGCAGTCCAAAATCTCGTCGACAACACGATCTCACACACCTTTTTACCCGCTTCGGTGTTGGATAATTTTGAGCGAACCCAATCCTCACTAACAAATAGAGCTCTCAATGCATTTCTGTGCTTGTACAAACTCTGTAAAGTGAGGAATGCTATGGCGAATCGAGTAGCTCCAGCTCTTACAAGATCTTGCCCACCCGTATGCTCTCTCATGGCACTAAGGATTCGCCCATGTCTATAAATAAAAGTGGTAATATTTCTACCACTTGCAATCTTGGACTTGAACTCCGTCATCTTCCCAATGTCCTCTAGCATGAGGTCAAGACAGTGTGCTGCACAAGGAGTCCAAAATAATGTCCGAATCCTCTCCTCCAACAGTTTGCCCGCGGCTTTATAGTTTGCTCCATTGTCGGTCACTATTTGAACGACATTTTCTTTCCCAACCTCTACAACTTTTTGCTCCAACAATCCAGCTAACATTCTTGCATCGTGTGATTCACTCGATGCATCAACCGACTCCAAGAAAAAAGTCCCCTCGGGACTATTCACAAGAAAATTAATCAAATGTCTACCTCTCCTATCGGTCCACCCATCAGACATGAGTGTGCACCCGTATTGCTTCCAAGAAACTCTATGTCTTTCTTTCAACTTATCAGTCGCTTCCTTTGAGTCCAAAAGGAGGGGTACTCGTAACTCATGAAAGCTAGGAGGCTTCAATCCCGGCCCCCATTGTCCAATTGATTCAACCATTACTTCAAAGCTTCTTGAATTAGCCGCATTAAATGGTATGCCATTCTCATAAAAAAAATCTGCTATATGTAGCATTGTCCTCTTTGTTTCTTCCTTACTCTTCGTACAAGCCTCCATTGTTCTTTGAGTAGGACCCTTAGAATGCCTCTCATCAACTACTTCTTCAGGGGTCTTTCTAAGTAGTGATGCAACGGATTGAGTTTGTTTTCCTACTCTCGGTTGCGGTTCGGCAAATCTCAACATGGTTTGTTTTCTCTTACTAGCCGTCCCGGAACTTGGATAAGTAACGGAATCGTTAGAAGATGGTTGTGTTTCTTCCCTTGCCAATTCTTGCACATCATCATCCACATTATCATCCAAGACCACCCTTGATCTCTTCATTCTTGATGTGCCTTGCATATATTGTTGCATTTCCCTCATAATCTCCGTAGTTGTTTTGGGGCATTTAGCAACATCTCCGTAACCCGCCGCCAAGTGTTGTTTTAGTCTTTTGATTCCCAAATGCATTTGTTTGTGGCAAAGTGAACATTCGACTAAATCTTTGTTTGCCAAGTCCGGCCAAAAACCATACTTCCATCCCGGATCATTTGATTTAGCTTTCCTCTTAGGGTCGGTAGATGGATCATAGCTTTCATTTTCCGAATTTGCATCCATAATTGAGTGTAATCCTACTGTCCAATCATGAAACAATGTACAATTTTTAAAAAAAAATTAAAAAAAAAAAATAAAGTAGTGACCAAGTGGCAGGCAGTGAGCACTGCCTCTGCTCACTGCCCCCACGTGGCCATAAGGCTTAAATACCAAACAAAGTCATTTGACTCATTTGTTTGGTATATAAAGCCATATAAAGCCACTACAAATGCAAAACAAAGAGAAAACAAACAAAAAAAAAGAAGAAAAATGCTCGACGAAGTGAGTCAGTCGACTGTCGAAGAAGAAAGAAGAAATCAGGAAGCAAGTCAAGCAACGGCAGTGGGCGACGGCAGTGGAGGGAGGGAGGTCCGGCGTTGGAGTCGCAGTGAAGGTCGCAGAGACGCAGAGTCGCAGCGCAGCAGTTTCTTCGTTTTTGAATTTTGACTAAGTCTGAAGTCTCTCACTTTCTATTTCTTATTTAGGGTTTTTTCCTTTTGTTACTTAACTTAAAAAAAAAAATAAAAAAATAAAAAACCAAAAATGGGCCGGGTTTGCGGGTTCGGCGTCGGATTTGCGTCCATGGCGTCGCATGGGACGCCATGGCGACGCCATTTCTCGACTCGCCCCTTTCAGGCGAGTCGAGCCCCCCAGGCGTCGCCTAGGCAACGCCGTGATAACTATGTCTGTAATGTACAGAAGTGACAAAAAGAAATAGAAGCCAATGCTACTTCAGGTTATCTGCTGAGTAATTTTCTGTTTACATGATTTTAATCACCCTGTATAAAAGTATGTAAAGTGTGCTGTATGCAGCAATCATTTACCATTGGTCCTCTGGCCAGTTCCTTTTGACTTGGATAAATGTTTGAAAAAGGTTCAAGTTTGAGAAGTATTAGCTTCAAGAAGAATAATGCTGAGAGATTGTTCATCATAGTTGGAACTTGTCTAGAGGTAAAGGTACTTGACGCACGGTCGCACATTGACTGGTGTGGCAAGGATATTGGTCAATGGGGGAAGGAGTTCATGAGAAAGTTCCAGACTAAAATCAAAACTTGTAAGTATAGAATGACCTGCTTTCAAAATAGAGCTGATTCTCATGGGGTACATTGTTTCGGAGGAGCCCAGAAGGATTATCTTCACCTGCTTGAACAACAAAATACGTGTGGAGACAGGGCAAAAGAATTCTGGCTAAGGAATGGAGACTCAAATACCAAGTACTTTCATAACGTTGTGAATCGTAGAAGAAGAAACAATGAAATTGAGAAATTAAAGAACACTGATGGGAATTGGGGTTACTGATAAAAGTGGTCTGGGTGCGTTGATGCTGCAGTATTTTCAACAAATCTACAATTTGAATTGTGGCGATTTTTCTTATGTTCTGGACTGTGTCGAAAACTCCATCACGGCTGGGAAAAATTCAGTTCTTAGAAGGGTTGATAGGGAAGAAGTTAGGAATGCTCTTTTCGATATGAATATTGACAAATCTCCATATTGGGATGGGATAAACCCAGGATTCTATCATCACTTTTGGGACATTGTGGGCTCATATTCAAAATGGTTCTTTGCTTGAGGGAGTAAATCATACTCAATTGGTTTTGATTCCAGAAAATACTAAGCTGGATAGCTCATAAAATAGCAGCTAAGGTTCTAGCTAATAGATTAAAGCCTCACCTGGATGATTTGATTTCAGAAGCCCAAAGTGCATTTGTTCTAGACTGCCGAGTTACAAATGATATAATGATAGCATATGAGGTTAAGCATTATCTGAATAGGAAAAAAAGGCAAGGTGGGATATGGAGACATCAAGTTGGATATGAGCAAGGTGTATGATAGAGTTGAGTGGAACTATCTTAGAAGTCTCTTATTGAAGATGGGTTTTTGTGACAAATGGTTCTCTCTTGTATGGAGCTTATTTCTACTGTGGAATATCATGTTTTGTTTAAAGGATAGATGAAATAGGTCTTATTTCCTATGTAGGGGGATCAAACAAGGTGATCCTTTGTCTCCATAATTGTTCATCTCAAGGTTATCTAGGCGGACTTTCTAGGCGACAAGCCGCCGATCGCCTAGACTAGGCGGCCGCCTAGGCAACAACTAGGCAATGAGTAATATATATATATATATATATATATATATATATATATATATATGTATGTATGTATGTAGTTATATATAGTTATATACACTAAATTGTCTAAATATGCAATAATTTAAACATTCAAATCAAAGTCAAGAACCAACATCACACAATACTATGATACTAAATATCCAATGTCTCAATTCTCAAACTCCCAAGTCTTAAACATCCATTAATTCAATCTCGTGCCCTTCACCACCATCGTCATCACTCTCAATTCCCTCATCTTCATCATCATCATCAATATCTTCATCATCATTTGGGAAAGAATCTTCATCATCTACTTCATCCCTCAAACCTCCCACTGATGAAGTATTGCGATGCTGGGAATATTGTATAGGTGCACTCGTGCCTTCACCTGCATTACCTGCATGAGCTCTTGTAGGAAGATTTCTTCCCTCCAAATTGGCTGAAGCACCAAGCACTTCATCAACAAGACTCCAAGTAAGGTCATCACCGACATGAACATTATCATTATGATTACCATCCACCCATTCATTTTCCCATTGAAATTCTTCAAGAACTAATGGATTGAAGTTGGCTCCTTCTTCACGCCGCTTTTGAAATCGACTAACAATCTTCCGGTTATACTTCACATAAACCAATTCATTCAACCGTTTATGTTCTAATCGGTTTCTTCTCTTTTGGTTACTTGGCAGTGTTGGTTACTTGGCAGTGTGGCAGTGTGCCACACTGACAATTGCTTTTTTTTTTTTTCTTTTTTCTATATGCTTGGCAGTGTGCCAAGTAACCAACACTGCCAATTATTTTTTATTCTCTATGATTTCGATTCACACAAAGAGAAGAAACCGATTAGAACATAAACGGTTGATGATTTGGTTTATGTGAAGTATAACCGGAAGATTGTTAGTCGGTTTCAAAAGCGGTGTGAAGAAGGAACCAACTTCAATCCATTAGTTCTTGAAGAATTTCAATGGGAAAATGAATGGGTGGATGGTAATCATAATGATAATGTTCATGTCGGTGACCTTACTTGGAGTCTTGTTGATGAAGTGCTTGGTGCTTCAGCCAATTTAGAGGGAAGAATCTTCCTACAAGAGCTCATGCAGGTGAAGGCACGAGTGCACCTATACAATATTCCAGGTGTCGCAATACTTCATCAGTGGGAGGTTTGAGGGATGAAGTAGATGATGAAGATTCTTTCCCAAATGATGATAAAGAAGATGAGGGAATTGAGAGTGATGACGATGGTGGGGAAGGGCACGGGATTGAATTAATGGATGTTTAAGACTTGGGAGTTTGAGAATTGAGACATTGGATATTTAGTATCATAGTATTGTGTGATGTTGGTTCTTGACTTTGATTTGAATGTTTAAATTATTGCATATTTAGACAATTTAGTGTATATAACTATATATATTATATATTACTCATCGCCTAGTCTACTAGGCGGTCGGCGGCTTGTCCGCCTAGATAACCTTGCTTGAAGGTTAATGAAATTGCTTATTTATTTTCAAAAAATGAATTAATAACCAAGCAAAAGAAAGATCTATCTTCTTTAGAAAATGAAATAGTGTCCTATTTCTTTCTCTGAAAAGCACTTGAGAGAACTTCCAAGGGACAAAACAAGCACTAATCCTGTTATGCCATTACCTTAAAAAATTGAGTTATGATTTATGAATAGTATATCTTCTTTTAGTTGGTGAACGTTTGTACTTGTTTCATGCTCTATTGGTGTTTTCAGTAAAATACTTAAATATATAATTTTAAAAAGTTTATTCTTTACACAAATCTTGCTTGCTGTGGGAGCTTTGTGTACTGTTTTTGTTTTCTCTTCTGCATGTACAGATGAAGTTGAAGGACCACTAGTGTAATTTTCAGCCTGTCCTCATGCCATGCTTTAAACATTAAACTCATTGTAGTTGGCATTTTCTTGTTAATGGGGCTGGTTGATTATGAGGTTTTGGGGTTGTAGGGAGAGTCGATTGTGGCAATATAATTCTCTCCATTTGGATTAACTTTTGCCCTCATTATGGTCAGCAAACCTAGTTATTGTTTGGGAGAATAGTATTTTTCATCCCTCATTGGTTATTTGAGTATAGCAAAATAGTTATTTGAGTACCTAATTGGTCATGCAGCATTGTGGTCCTTAGTAATTAGCAAATATTGCCCATTTGGCCCTCCTTTTTCCTTTTTGCTTATATACACAACACCATTCTTCATAGTGTTGTTACTTCGTTATTTCTTGAAAATATTGGAAATTCCAATGTTATGACTTGTTTTCTTTCCTCCAACAACAAACCAGTGGATTCCAACCTTCAATTGCAAAAGTTCCGAGTGCAGGTCCCTGTTTTACTAGTTCCAAAGCTTCCTCTTGACTTCTTGTAACTTCAAATCTGGAATTGGTTCTACTGTTCTACTATTTTTGGTCCTTTGGCAGATAATTCTATAAAATTTAAAGCAAAAGAGGCAGCTAAGGATGGGGATGCTCCACCCATTGGGCATAATTTCTGAATACTAAAGTAATGAGGCTCTAGGAAATGTACTGGATGATATATATTTTATAGGACTAGGGCAGTTTCTGGGAACTATAAGTCTCCTTTAGCATAACAGCCGAGACTCATTGAAACTGGAACACACTGAAGTTTCACACGGGAATCAATAAAGCATCTGATGTTGATATTGGTGGACTCTTGTTCATTCTGTTAAATTTAATTTTATTCTTTTTATTACAAATAAGGGAAAAAAAGAGTTATAGCTTGCCTTTCTATGAATTTCTGAAGCTGTGATCTCAGACCTTTCCAGCCGTTCTTTGAGTTCTTGTGTGGCAGATGTTGAGAACAATGTCCATGTTGTAGAAGTCTTGGAGCATTTCGACTCAGACCTTGATGCCATTTTCCTTCAAGCTTCTCTTCTCTGTATCATCCAATACCTCTCTGATTTTCTTGAGGTTCAATCAGATGTTTTTGATCTCCTTCTCCACAGACATTTCTGTTCTTAGCTCATGGTCATGGACCTTGATGATGTACAAGAATGGAGATGAGTGTGTCAGCTATGTGCTTCAGTGGTGTCTGGCATATCTTGAAGAAGAGATCTGAAAAGTGATTACCCCTCTCTTCTCAGGTCTGAGATGAAGAGTATATTATATGTTGTTTCCCAGAATTACCCCTCGCATTGGGGTTTTCATGTTTTCCTTTACAAGTTAATAACTCCCGTAGGCTGGACATAGAATTTGCATCATTAGGTGATTACTAAGGACCACATTTTGTGTTGTACTTGGTGTTACTAATTAGGGACTCAAATACAGTAACTAATTTGCTATTATTGAGGTACAAAGCGAGCTATTCTCTCTATCGGTTTTAATGGGTTAGGTTATTATTGTAAACTGATATTTTCTACAAGATCTATATTTTGAAATATGAGCTGTAGTCGGCGAAAAGTTAAAAACATTTTGTGATTGTGTACTGATATAGCTATGTCAAGGTACCAAAGGGGTTTCCGTTGTGATATTCTTTTAGCTTGTGTAACTAGTTTCATTTCATTTCATTTTCAGCTTCTGGATCGTCTGCGAGGGAGCTCTTCTTGATTGGCGACTCTTGATTGTCTTGGTCAATTGTTTATTATCTTTTGACTTGTGAGATTTATGTAGAATCTTATAAACTGTTTTATAGGCTTTCATGTTAGATATGCTTAAATTAGATTTCACCTTGTCAGCTATACACGGTTGTAACTTCTCTTCACCTTGTCAGCTATGAGGTTGTGAACTTTCCATCCCTTCAGGCCTAGTAGTTCTTCTAACTTAGTTTGGGTTAAAAATTTGATTTTGTATTGCCTATGTAGCGTTCTTTATTTATATTATAACTCATGATATTGATCTCAAATTATATGGTTTTGTTACTTAAATTGACATTTGAAGAGCTGTCTTTCTGTATTTGGTTATGCTCATTTAAATTACTAAAATAGAAATGAGAAAATTATTATGTGGACTCTCAAGTTTCATTCTCAAATTTTACTTCCATTCTCAAATTTTTAATGTAGACATTTTGCTTGGGATCTACATGATGAAATAGTCTATTATTGTTTGTCACATCAGGGAGTAAAAATGAGGGAGTAGAATTTGAGAGTACATATAGTAAAAATTCAAATGGTAACTTTTAAAAGCTACAAGATTTTTGTAAGCTATCTAAATTCGTCTTTTTCACATGTACTCCAATTTAACGGCAAAGTACAAGACTAAGAAGTTGAAGTCTTTAAGCATCTTCATTAGTGTTTTTGGTCAAGTTTTTGTAGTAGTAAAAAGTAAAAACTGATGTTGAGATTTTTTGACAAATAGGAAGTTTGATTTTTTATTAGACCTTTTTTGGTGCAAAGATCTTGATTTTTGCAGGAGAAAAAAATGTCAGAAGACGTATTTGAAGTGCATTGCGCGCCCCAACGGGCACGTGTGTTGGCCACTCTGGAGAAATGACTGTTGGTGGCTCCCTTTTATTTTTTAAAAATTTTGTCAATTTTTTTTCTTTTTCTTTTTTTCTCCTTTTTTTTTCCCTCTTCTTTATCTTAATTGGCACTTTAAAAATCACAAAAAAATAAAGACTATTGAGGTTGATGCCAAGTCAATAGTACAATGAAACTGTTTCATTTGTAATGAGGTATGAGGATGATAAATGTTATTGACAACAATTACCTTATGAAACATTTCACAATATATATGTATACTAGTATTTAGTATATATATATATTTTTTTTTCTTTTATTTAATTTATTTAATTTATAGTTGTAGAATTCATATTCATATTGTACTAAAAATATAGTTGATAATTTGAGTAATAATTATGATATGATTAATACTATTAATGTAATATATAATTTTATATATGATAAATTATTAAATATAATTATGATAATATTTAATTAAAATATAATGAAATTAAACTTATTTGCCAAGCACCTTGTGCTCAGATGGCATGTAGTGACTTCTTCCATATGGGAAGTCATGAGATCGAGTCTCAGTGGAGGCGTTGTTGACTCTTTGTGCTTCAATAGGTTGAGAAAGTATGTTTGAACAGATACTACAATGTAATAGAGTCAGTAGCTTTCAAAAAAAAAAACTTATTTCTCATAATAGATGGGAAAAGATAAAATAAGTTATAACAGTAGGGTTTTTTTTTTTTTTGTCCAAAAAATTGTATAATATAACTCTTATAGCATAATGTATAAAAGTAAATGGTAAAAACTAATATAAACCAATGATATAATTTAGATTGAGACTTATTATGTTTTTAGATTAGATTAGATTAATTAGATATACACTCTATTATGATACTTACCACAAATAATTCAAAGTTTTTTTTTTGTTTTTTTTTTTTTTTTTGTTTTGTTTTTGTTTTTGTTTTTTTTTTTTTTTTAAGGAGTTCAAAGTCTTTTAGTAACACACCTTAGTCAAGATGACATGAAAACATAGTTGTCATATTTACATGTGTACAAATAAACTACTGATACAACAAGCTAGCCTCTTGTAGCCACACAAAATAATGGATAAGATATGTAAATGAGAGACTATGAAGTACACAACAATTGTTTGTAGACACAATGTATGATGTCCATGTTGTCTATGCCATGAGACTAGACAATGCATCAACTAGTTAATGTAAGCCAAAAATATGATATCAATAAGCTACTTAAATTAGTTTTTTTCATTTTTAACTTATTAACATTAATAAGTTAAACGAAATTACATGGTTATATTAGCTGTTTGACCAGTCAAACAAGCTAAACTTTGACTGATAAAGTATTTTTCAAATACTCCAATTTTCAAAATAAGATGAACCTTGGAGACCACATGTGTAAAGCACTTTCACGAAACAAATTAATTACGACATTAGATGTTGCCATTGTTTACAAAAGAGATCGAATTATATCATTAATGATATGTATTAGCTTTCCATGCCATCACATTAACTAGTACTAAAGTTGGATATAATTTGTATCGTGTCAGTAACTAGTGTACTAGTTTCAGTGCCTAATCTATATTACTATTTGTGTTTAAGAAAAAAAATTAAAATGATTTCAAAATTAATTTAAAAAATAATGCACGTCTTAGTTTGAGCTCAAACATATTTCAAAATTCACTTGAATCTCATATAATTATTTCTACATGATACATAAATTTTGTGAATTTTAGGGGTAAACTCATTCCCTTCATCACCTTAATTATTTCATGATTGGATGCATTTGCGGAAATTGTTTTGCTAAAGTAATATTGTGAAAGAGTATATTGTAAATTTTAACCAAATACATATACTAAATGTGTTTGGTTTTAAAATGAAACTATTTACATGATAAAATATTTTTTATGAGAAGCTTCTTTTATGGGTAACTAATATAATACAATAAACACATTTTCTATTTTTAATTTTTTTTTTATTTATAAAAAGCTTCTCGCATGAATAATCTATATAATATAACAAACACATTTCTGAAATCCATTTCATGTAGAACAAGAAAAGTACATTTTTATATACGACGTAATTAAAAATAATATTATTAAATGTGTTTGAGAAATACTTTTGACATTTAATTTTCATGAAAATTTTAAAAATTGATTTTAGAGTGAAGTAAAACTTATTTAGGAGATGTCTGATCAGAATGATTTTCCTAAATAAATTTTGATTATTTTTGTCTAATTTGTAAAATGTGTTTTTTTTTTCCAAGTGAAATTTGTCCATTTCAAAAAGCCCCACAACGGTAATTTCGAGGAGGGGTGAGATTGTAAACAAATAAAAAGATATTTAAAAAAGGTGAGATAGACGATAGCCAGAGAAAATGGAAGCTATTATATATTTCAACGGAGAGAGAAACATCTGAATGTAAAATGGCTCAAATCCAAATTCAAATCAGGAGAGTGCGATGGTCGGCGTGGTTTCTTGGAGCATCCAACGGTCTGATCATTGTCCTGGGAATCTCCGTCGTCATGGCGGCGGAGGCCAGTCTTCCGTCATGCGGGAGGGCCGACATTGCGGCCATCTCCGCCATCGCGTTGGTCTCTTGCGCTAGAATTCTACAAATGATTCGCACTGGAGTCAACCAGAAGGCTTCCGCTCTCACCATCCTCTCTCCGAATGCCAATTCCGATCCCAATATACGCCAGGAACGCCGGGTACTTTTCCCTCTTTAATATTAATTTTTCATTTCAATCGATTCGATGCAAGGCTTAATATAACAAATATTTTTCAGTGAATTCATTGATCATCATCATTTTGACTTTTAAATTGTGTTTCCTGATTGATTATTACGTTACACTAAAGAGGAGATACCGGAGATGGTTATGGTGGAGTCGGTTTGCTGCAGTAATTACCGCACTGCAATTCCTCGGGGCAGCTTATTTTCTGTTTATTCTCATGAAATTTATATATCAAGATGGTCCACCGACTAGTTGTGTTCTAGGTAATCTTAGTTTTGAATTGCTTCATGTGTATTTTGTTCTTATTTTCTGAGTATTTATTATTGAGGAGAATGAAACCTGGTCCTGCATGGACTTTTGAAAGAATATAGTATTTTTGATGTGTGTGTGTGTGTGTGTGTGTTTTTTTTTTTTTTTTTTAATTTATTTTTTTAATTTTTTTAATTTTATTTTAAATTTATAAATGTATTAATGCTTACAAGATGTTGCTCAACTGTAACTCATGTGGAAGGTTATTTGCCAATTATTTTACTGAAAATTTTATGTTGATCCTTGTAGCACCAAAGATAACAATATTTTCAACTCCATCTTGCAGAGCTTTTCTTAACTGGTCAAAAGTGGCAGCGAAACATGGTTCTCCTTTTCATTACCATGGTAATTTATGTAGCCCCAGTCCAATGTTTCACAGGATCAGATGTTTTGAAATGGAGGTCCTTCTATGCCACAGAGGACTATGCATGGAAGGCACACTATAGGGAAGTATTTGATCATGGCATTCGTGAAGCATTGTGCTGTCTAGGACGGTTCAATTACTTGTAGGTGTCTCTGCATCTGTTTTCACAGTTTTGATTGATGTTTAGATTGTTCCCTCTTTTCTCATTTGTTTTGTTCTCTTATGAGCTTAGGACTGCAATGGATGAAGATGAAGTTTACTCAGTAGCCGAGTTTTTGGGTGATCTTGTTAGTTATCGTGTTTCGGGAACTGGGCATTTGGAATTCTTGGCAGGTTTGTGTTACTAAAGTAATATTCTAATTATCTCTGAAATATGTTTTTGGCAAGTCGTGACCTGGTTGAGTAATTCGTTTTTCTCTTATGTTATGATGATTGGTCAAAGTGATTCTCTTTCTCTTGCATAGTATTTGTATATTTTTCCTATAGTTAAGTTAAACTTAAATAAAAGTATTGTGGTGGTTTGACTTTACATGAAGTATGGTATTTCACCAGAAAATGTCATGCCTTCAGTTTGTGGAAAATAGGAAATGAACACTCCCTACTGTTAGTCATAATGAGTCAATTGGTTGCTGCATTGCACTCAAGTGTGTAACATCTAGAATTCCCATACCAACTGAAAATTTCCCATCTTTGTTTAGAAAAATTCCATTCTAATACAGCATTTACTGTCAAAATGTTAGGTGTAGATAGCTGTATTGTTCTTCACTCCTTCCTGTGCTTTAGGTCAATATGCAATTTCTTGAAATTTAAATGGTTGACGTTGAATATTACAGATATTTCAAGTTATTGCCTCCAATTTGAATGCCCACCTGTGTTGCCATGTATGTTATAAGCTGAAAATAGTGTACCAGTAGTGCAGTACTGCAGTAGACATGGAATGCGGAAGTGATAGAGTAGTTGATGAATAATGAATGACTGGATTTCAAAATCTCTTTTGCATAGACATTTCATGATATACTTTCATAATTACTTGTTGCATTATTGTGTTTAATCCTTTTGTTTGGCATAGTTTTCTTCTTGTGTTAGAACTCACAGAAGAGTGATGAGTGTTTAAGTTCTACACTGTTTTACTCTTCAAGTTTTCCTTAACTATGTTAAGTAAACAAAATGATCTTTTTTTGATATTCAGGACTAGCTTTATTGCATAGGTATAGTTCATCCTCTAAATTATGTGAAGAGGCACTACCAGTACCTGAGGAAAGGATCCATGAGGCTGCTCTCTTTCATCCGTTTGCTGAAGCTGCCTATACTGTATGCTGACTTTAGTTATCAATTTATATAAAATATCTCAACCTATTGTAGTGTGTTTTAATGTGGAAAGGGTATAATACAGGGTCTGTTACTTGATGTTGGAAGAAATCCAATACTTTTTCCATTGTCATGGCTATGTAGGCAAGGCGTCTTCTCTCCTTGGGCTCGTAAAAGGTGAGAAATGTATTTGTTTCTACATGCTTTGTGATGTTAAATACACCTTTTATGGAAATAATTGACAGCAACAATTTGAGACCTTGAAGAGCTTTGGTGTTGTTGAACTCTAAAGAAGGAAGTGTATATATGTAGTGCGATAATGAATTCAATCAATAGAGTACAGGAAGCCTATGCTTATATACAAGCTAAAGGGAAACTCCTAACCACTTATTTCAAAATTCAAATGGGTAGTTAGGAGACTTCCTCTAACAACCTACTAACACTCCCCCTCAAGTTGAAGCATAGATATCAAACATGCCCAACTTGTTAGATATATATGAAACCCGATTTTTACACAACCCTTTCGTGAATATGTCAGCCAGTTGATCACCGCTCCGAACGTGTGTAAGTGATATGAGTCCTTGCTCCACTTTTTCCCGTACAAAATGGCAGTCAACTTCAATATGCTTCGTCCGCTCGTGAAAGACCGGATTATTCGCGATGTGTATGGCAGCACAGTTATCACACCACAAATCTATCGGTAACTTCACTTCAACACCCACTTCTTTTAGAATGTTACGCACCCAGACTATTTCGCTCGCCACATGAGCCATAGCTCGGTATTCCGATTCAGCACTTGAGCGTGACACCACATTCTGCTTCTTACTCTTCCACGAGACCAAATTGCCTCCTACAAACACACAATAGCCTGTCATAGACTTCCTATCACCCGGTGAACCAGCCCAGTCTGCATCGGAGAACGCCTCAACACGTATATACCCGTGATCAGCATAAAGGATCCCTTTTCCAGGAGCACCTTTCAAGTATTTCACAATCCGAACCGCCGCTTCCCAGTGAGTCTGTGTCGGTGCACTCATGAATTGACTAACCACACTCACTGGAAATGCAATATCTGTACGGGTAATTGTGAGATAATTTGGTTTTCCCACTAACCTCCTGTACCTCTCCGGATCTTCAAACGGCTCCCCTTCTCCTGCCAGTAACTTCACGCCTTGATCCATGGGCGTATCACACGGTTTTGACCCAAGCAGCCCCGTGTCCCCGAGCAAGTCCAACACATATCTCCTCTGTGAGAGGAATATGCCTTTCTTAGAGCGTGCAACTTCAATTCCCAGAAAGTACTTCAATACTCCCAGATCCTTAGTATGAAACTCAGATCCGAGAAAGGACTTGAGTGCCTCAATCCCACTTGCATCACTGCCTGTAATAACAATATCATCTACATATACTATCAACAAAACACACCCATAGTTAGTATGTTTGTAAAAGACAGTATGATCATATGCACTTCTCTGCATTCCAAACTCAACGACTGCATTGCTAAACCGCCCAAACCACGCACGCGGAGACTGCTTCAGCCCATATAAAGACCTCTTCAGCTTGCACACTTTCCCAGACTCCCCCTGAGCAACAAACCCCGGTGGTTGCTCCATATAAACCTCCTCACGCAAGTAGCCATGTAGGAAAGCGTTCTTCACATCAAGCTGATGCAAGGGCCAATGACTCGAAGCTGCCAAAGAGATGAATATCCGCACAGAAGTTAACTTGGCCACTGGAGAGAACGTCTCGGTATAATCTATACCATACGTCTGGGCGTACCCCTTTGCCACCAAGCGCGCTTTGAGTCTAGCCACAGAACCATCCGGGTTCATTTTCACCACATACACCCATTTACACCCAATAGCAACCTTACCAGGGGGAAGTTGTACTAGATCCCAGGTCTGGTTCTCCTCAAGGGCGTCTACCTCCTCTACCATCGTACGCCTCCAACCATCATGGGACATTGCCTGACTCAAAGATTTCGGAACAGGAACAGACTCTAACTGGGACACAAAAGCACGTGAAGATGCCGATAAATTGGTATATGACATAAAGGACGGAACGGGACGAACACAACGACGCGTACCTTTCCGAACAGCGATAGGAACATCCTGGTCTGTCGACGAAGATTCTGGTAAGGGAGGATTTACTCGTGGAACCGGTGGGGTTGCACGCGTATCACCTTCTCTGGGCCGCCTGTGATAGACCTGCGTAACAGGAGGCCTAGAATCCACTCCTACGGAGTCAGGAATGGTAACAGTATATGTCAGAAAATCATTTGTCTCGGAACTACAACCAGACGAACTGGAGAACTCCTCTGTGAATAGAGTATTCTCGAAGAATGAGACATCTGCAGAAACCAAGTATCGCCCCAAATCCGGGGAGTAACACCGATACCCTTTTTGAGTACTTGAATATCCCAGGAAAATACATTTTAATGACTTAGGATCGAGTTTCCCTCTTTGAGGACGAACATCCTGGACAAAACACGTACACCCAAACACTTTAGGAGGGAGGCAGAACAATGGTTTGGATGGATAGACGAAATGACAAGGACTTTGACCCCCAAGGATCCTTGTAGGTAGGCGGTTTATTAAGAAACACGCTGTATGAACAGCATCTGCCCAGTAAACCCTAGGGACTTTCATTTGAAACAACAACGCCCTAGAAACCTCCAACAGATGGCGGTTCTTGCGTTCTGCCACACCATTCTGTTGGGGAGTGCTGACACAAGACGACTGATGTACAATCCCATTCTGACTCATATAACTTGAGAAGGAACGAGAAAAATACTCAGTCCCGTTATCACTCCGCAACACCTGTATCATTTTATTGAACTGAGTTTTGACCATTGCACAGAAATTACAAAAGATCCCAAACAACTCATCTCTAGATTTCATGAGGTATAGCCAAGTGTGTCTAGAGAAATCGTCTACAAAAGTTACAAAATTTTGATACTACTCGACATGGCCCCCATATATCTGAGTGAACCAACTGAAATAAAGACTCGACTCTATTATTGACTCTAGGAGGGTATGGCACCCGACAATGCTTAGCAAGCTCGCATGACTCACATTGCAAGCTAGATAGAGATTCTAACCCCGGACACAACTTCTTTAAGACAGACAAAGGCGGATGACCATACCGGGAGTGCAACTGCAACGGGGACATATTTCCCAATAAACCAACCGGAACACCTCCAGAACCTTTGGACAGCCGCTCTAACACGTACAGCCCACCGACCTCCTTCCCTTTACCGATAATCGTCTTCGTCAACAGATCCTGAAACAGACAATATCCAGGGAAGAACATGACACAACAATTTAGGTCCCGGGTAATTTGACCAATTGACAATAAATTGAACGGGAATTTTGGGAGATATAACACAGAAGTGAGAGGTAACGACGAACTAACACTCACACTACCTTTACCTAAAACAGAGGTGGATGAACCATCTGCCAAGGTAACGGTAGGACCACATTTAAGGGAACAATATTCGGAAAACATACTTAGATTACCTGACATGTGGTCACTGGCTCCAGAATCAATGACCCCACTGTCGAGACGAGGAGGAAACACAAGCAATAGGATTACCTGTTTGAACAAAGGTAGCTGACGGAGACGGCAATGACCCTGGACTAGCGGGAGACTGCGAGGAAGACAACTTTAACTGATTAAACAAAGCCATCTCTTCCTCAGTTATCATAACCGTCCCTTCTGGTTTAGAGGCAGAATTAGCAAACCTCCTATGGTCGGAGAGTTGTGGGCATTGGTTACGCAGGTGACCGGGATCACCACAATTATAGCAAGCCCTTTGCCCACGACCTCCTCCGCGCCCTCTACCTCGTCCCCTGGACCGACCTCCTCGACTATCAGTCCCACTATCTCCCTGTGAGAAAAAGGCTTGTTTCTCCAACGTACTATCAGTACCAAGATTCACTGACGCATTTTGAACCATAGAAAAAACCTGGTCGAGCGAGTCTAATTCCTTATTCCCCAATAATTGTGATTTCAAAACATCATACTCCTTATCCAATCAAGAAATCCAACTAAAAATATGCAATTGATCACGTTGTTTCTTCATTTTATCCACTTTATCAGTAATTGGCATAGCAGCACATAATGCCTCACTCACATTCTTGAAGTCATAATAGTAATCCCTAATGTCCCGCCCTTTTTGAGACGGTCGATGAACATCCTGGGATAACTGATATAACTTCCTTAAATTATTTGCCCCGCTAAACCACTGATTCACTAACTCCCACACTTCCTTCGCACTCTTACAGTGCTGTAAAGATAGGATTATCTTCCTATCAATACAATTTATTATACGTGAAAACAATGCGTCATCATCTTTCTGCCACGCTTGGGCTTCGGTAGGGTCATCCGGACATGTCTCAATTAAATGTCCAGTTTTACCCATACCCTTCAAGTTCACTTCAACTAGGAACTTCCATTCCCCAAAATTGGACCCATCAGGTGCCAACACCAAATCAACCAATTTAGATTGTGTTGACACCACTGTAATAGTCCTATTTTCTGCCATAATAAACACACACAAGACCAACCTGGAAACGCAGCTTTACTTCTATGCAGATGACAAGACACAACCCAGCTTCACATCTCACGCAGCAAAGCAGACCTGGAAAAACAGCTTCAACTTCTCTGGCAGCAACGCAGATCTGGAAAACAGCCCACTCAAAATCCCCTCAACACCAGACGGAGATATTCATATAGGACTGTCGGGCGCACGGAGACGATCCCAGCCGCGTCGGCGGCGACCGGAGCCGAGGTCGGAGAACACCGCACGCGCCGGCGCGTGGTGTCGGAGCTCCGGGAGTGCGGCGGCGCGTGGACCTTCCGATGACTGCTCCGATCCTCCCGGCGGCGGCGCCTCCTCGTTCCGACCAAAGCCCACCACCCACATCTACTGCTCTGATACCATGTTGAACTCTAAAGAAGGAAGTGCATATATGTAGTGCGATAATGAATTCAATCAATAGAGTACAGGAAGCCTATGCTTATATACAAGCTAAAGGGAAACTCCTAACCACTTATTTCAAAATTCAAATGGGTAGTTAGGAGACTTCCTCTAACAACCTACTAACAGGTGTTTTGCAGTTTGGGGCATTACTTTGGGTTTATTGGATGAAGTAGAAGCTATTCGTGAGCTTGCATCATTAGTTTAAATTCTTAGATTGAGTACTTTTCATTCTTTGTTCTGTTTTTATTTGCATTTTGGGAATTTTTAGTTTTGGGGTTGTAGTCTCCAGACTTGGTGACTTTGAGTTTGAATTTTGTTTAGTAAATTGTCTTGTTGGGTGTGGCGATTGTTAATATCCTAATTAGTGTTGGAGTATTTTTTTGAATTGAGAAAGGTCTAAAAGATAACCTTTATGGCTCTCCAAATATTGTAGTCTTCATGTAATTATGAGTTTTCAACCTCATTCTCTAGTGGTACATTGTTATTCTCTTCCTAGGGTGTGTCTATGGAATTCAACAAATGGTTCCTACAACCCTTGCACCCTTTTTCCTATGCAGTTTTTAGCCAATCATAAGCTTTTTGAAGGCCAAAATTCATGGCTATTATCTTGTTCCCATTTCCCTTGATTTTTACACTAGTTTGTTTATTTTAGAATACTTAAAGAATGTTCCCATATATATTGGGAACAATATTAGTTTGGATTACTTCAGAACATTCATGTGCACTGGTATAGTGGTATTTGAATTTTCTCTATCTGTAAACTGTGGTGCAACATTTTGTTTTGAGCAGTTAATATGCCAGCGTTTACCTGTTTATTACAGTCGACCTTTACTTGAAGGTGATAATTGGTGGCGAGGTCATGCAGCAGCTTTCTTGAAATATGTCAAATTGACAGATGATGTACTTAGAAAGGGACGTGTTAACCAAGTAAGTCATAGTTTAAATATGGGCTCTAATATTGTTAATTACCATCTCTAGATCTTTTCTGTATTTTCTCTTAGTATATAATACTGATTCTAGGTAAAAGAAGTTCTTAACAAAATGAAAGATGTGCCTTAATGTAGCAATTATTTAAATTCTCCCACTTAAAATATGTGAAATCCCATTGTGTAACAAAAATTGCTGATGCGTAGACAGAGTGCAGTAGGAGTAATTAATCTCTTCAATGTCCCTTAATTAATTTGGTCCCTAATAAATTACACATTGATCTCATTTTAGATGCGCTAGTGCTTTGCCCTGGTTATTACTAACTATTTGTGTATTTTAGTTTTCTTTATAAATTATTTAGCTTGCTTTATTTAAATTGTCTCTGCAAAAATACAGTTTGAAGTTTAGAATAGCACATATAGAGTACAAGAAAATTTTTGTTTTCAAAACTCAAAACAAAAACAAACAGTTAGTTAAGTACCTTCTCTTTCATTTTATTTGTCTTGTTTATTATTTGAGGGTCTAGTTAACTTTTATCTTTTCTTTTGCTATTTTTTAATTTTTATTTTACAAATTTAATTTTTTGCCTTCTTGTTTAATAGCTCTGAACGTGTAGTTTCTAAAACTATAACTTTTATTTACTAACATTAAATTAAACAGTACAAAATTTGAACTGAAAACATGTTGACTATCATTATTTGAACCAGACATACAAAGTGGGACAATGTATGTGTCTAGTTCAAGTGGCAAAAGGAGTGGCTTCCTAAATTTCGCAGTTCCATCCTCCTCCTCTAGCATGTTCAAAAAAATGTCTATTGAGATTTATTTGTACTGGAATAAGAAAACTTCATGCGCATTCAAGTAGGGTTCTATATAGCATGGGTTCATGGCAAATGGTGCAAAACTACATTTCCATTCTCTCTGCTTTGGGTTTAATATTATTGGCAAATATAGCAGATATTAGAATATGAAGTGTTGGTTATATGCTATAATACAAAGTACTCTAATTTTCATGATCTATTTTAATTTCTAGGGATTATTTGTTTAAACTAATTGGAGTAATTGAAACATAAAAGGAATTGGGTACTTTCTTTTGAATATTATAGTATTTTTTGTAGACTAAACTAAATTATACTTACTCAGATTCCTTAGTGTTACTTATTTGATCTCTTTTCTCATCTGAAGAAACTTTTAGAGTTCAGACGTACACATCCTCATAAATGTAACTAAATTTCTGTTTCACGTTCTTTTTTCTCAGGATAAGTGTAAAGCAGCATACTTCATTGTTGTTTTGCACCATTTGAAAACTGTTGTGATTGCTGTGCGTGGGACTGAGACCCCTGAAGACCTCATAACTGATGGGTTATGCAGGGAATGCAGCCTTTCTGAAGGGGATTTAGATGGTTTAGTAAAGTATCTCTCTCTCTTTCTCTCTCATGAACACAGTTTTTCCTTTTTACTGTCTTGTGTGGTTGCTTCCTTACCTTGTTTGAACTCTAGAGGTTAAAATTTTTTTTAAGGAAAATATTTTAGTGATCATGGGTCCACAATGTCCTAAGCTTCAAAAGGCACTAGAAACAGGTTCACTTTGATAAAATATTTTTTAAAAATACCCAGTTACTCGAGAAACATAGGGATTACGTTTTAGTTCAAATCATAGAAATAAGCAAAGGAAACCATAGTATTATCAGATCTGATCAATAGATGAAGTTCCAACAGCAGCAACATCGTTGATGGTGAATTTGCCTTTGTCCTTGTTACGAATGTAAATAGAAGATTTCTGAATATGTTGTCTTATAGAAAAGAGAATACACAGCCCTATAAATACATGCTAGAAGACTTCGAATAGAAAACAAGTTTCTATATGTCTACCTACCTAAATCCCTAAGACAGTCTAGTCTATAAAGATTTCAAATATATATATTCCATAACACTCCCCTTTAAGTTACACAAATAACTGATAACCCAGATATAACTAACCCAAAATAATGAAATAACGAAATAACTCAAATCCATTTAGGACACTCCCTTGAAACAAAAACTTTGGATGCCACCTATACCACGGAAAACCGGGTGACCTCAAAGTGAACCGAACAAGCTTGGACATAAATTCTTTACCAACTCCGAACCGGAGGACACAAATTCTTTACCAACGAAAGGGAAACATGCCCCAAACGACAATGAGCAACAAAAATGAGGGACAACACTAAAACAAGGATCAAACTCCATCCTTCTAGAGGTCAAGATTGTAGAGACCCTCTGAAGCAAGCCCTTCACCAATAACCCTCTTCGTCCGAGGCACAACAGCAACACATTTACACGTAGAACAGAAGGCAATGGTCCAAACTAAGTCCAGAACCGAGAAGAGGGGACTCAGGTGACCTAGGAACTGCCAAGCGGAAACTTTTTTGGTCACCGGAGACGCCGCACGCGCTGACGCGTGAGAGAAGGGCGGTGGACGGTGTTGAGAAATAGTAGAAAAGGATAGAACAAAGTTTTCATCTTATTACATACAAAGTTTTAGATTACACACCAAATATATAGGCAAACCAAAAGCATTTATAAAAGCACACAATAAATTCTTGACTGCCTAAGAAACCTAATAGTTTTCTCAAGAATAGATAAGACAACTAGAATAAATGTTAGAGTGATCAAGATAAGTATTTCCTATTTTCCAACACTCTCCCCCTCAAACTGGAGCATATAAATCAAATGCTCCAAGCTTGCTACAAATGTACTCAATCTTAGGTCATCGAAGGGATTTGGTGAGAACATCAACAAGTTGATCATTTGACCCAACAAATGTTAGTAATGATTTCTTCGGATACAACTTTTTTTTTTTGAATAATAAAGTGGCAATCGACCTCAATATGCTTGGTTATTTCATGATAAACAAGATTTGATGCAATATGTAGAGTTGCCTGATTGTGGCAAATTAACTTCATAGAACCAAGTTTATAGACATTGAGTTCTGTGAGAAGTGAGAAGTTGCTTAACCCAAATTAACCCACATATCCCAAGGGCCATTGCTCAATATTCAGCTTTTGCACTTGATCGTGCAACTACGTCTTGTTTCTTGCTTTTCCAAGACACAAGATTACCTCCAAATAGGATACCATATCCTGATGTTGATCTCCTATCCCATGGACATCCAGCCCAATCTACGTCTGTATAACCAATAATTTCTGTATGTCCATGATATTTCTAAAGCAATCGTGTACCTGGTGACCTTTTCACATATCTTAAAATTCTGATGGCTGCACCCGATGACTTTGACATGGCTCCTGTAGAAATTGGCTAACCACACTAAAAGCAAAAGGGACATCTGGAAGGGTGATGTCAAGTATAGGAGCTTGTCGACTAATCTTCGGTATCCAGGAAGAAGTTTGACATTTGGGTCCATGTGTCAACTGGTTTGCAATCTGTCATATTTGTTTCTTCAAGAATATCCAATGCATATTTTCGTCGGGGACACGTAAATACCCTTTTTAGACTGAGCAACTTCAATACCAAGAAAGTACTTCAATTTCCCAAGAAAGTACTTATTAAGTTGATTTATTTGTCATGCCCCGGGGAAGAATCATGAACGAAGTAGGTACACCCAAAAATTCGTAGTGGAAGCTTATGGAGGGGTTCTTGTGGGAGTAAGATATGAAGAGGATTTTTTAGGAACCTTGTGAATTAGCAAAGTACGGACCGTGCCAACAAGATGTCGAATCTTTCATTCAGCAACTCCATTTTGTTGTGGAGTTCTAGCACATGAAGGTTCATGAAGAATTCCATGTGAAGAGAATAAAGAAGTGAAAGGGTCAGAAAAAGTATTCTCTTGCATTATCACCGTAGGATTTTGAGAGATGCCCCAAATTGATTCACAATCTCATTGTAGAATTTTTGAAACACATTGAATAATTCAAAATGATTTTTTTTTTTTTTAATTAAAAAGACCCAAGTGCACTGAGAATAATCAATCATCAATGAAGACAACAAAATATGAGAATCCTTAGGTTGTTGAGACACGACATGGTCCCCAAACATCAGAGTGGACTAAGAAGAATGGGGCATTGGCTCTCCTATTGATCCTACAAGGGTACGAGGCTCTTGATTGTTTCCCAAGTTGACACGATTCACATTTTATGGTTTTTAAGTTTGACAAACCAGGAACAAGTTGTCTTAATTTATTGAGATTAGGGTGTCCCAAACGACAATGATTCAGAAAGGGTGAAATAGTAATAGTGCAGGCTGTGTTGTCCTAGGTGGAGCAATGAAGATGGTAGAGTCCTCGTGATTCACATATCCCTTACCGATCGTCTTCCTCGTCTGTCGGTCCTGGATCACCTCAGAATCAGAAGAAAAGGTAGCACAACAATTAAGGGAGTGTGTAAGTTGATGAATTAAAATAAGATTGAAAGGACAACTAGGAATGTATAGGACATTAGATAAAGGACAATCGTCTTCCTCTTCTGTCGTTCCTAGATCACCTCAGAATCAGAAGAAAAGGTAACACAACAATTAAGGGAGTGTGTAAGTTGATGAATCGAAATAAGATTGGAAGGACACTAGGAATGTAAAGGACATTAGATAAAGACAAGGAATGAGTATTGACTTTCCCAATTCCTTTAGCCTTTCGTTTTGATCCATCACCAAAGGTAACAGCAGGAAGCGTGTCCATAAAATCAATGAGAGAAAAAAGAAGGGTTACCAGATATGTTATCAGTGGCTCCAGAGTCTAAGACCCAAACCGAGTCTAATTGTGAAGCAAGAACAGTGTGGGATATGTTAGGAGAAATGTTGGTTCTGGTAGCCTTCAACTGTAAAAATTCAGCATACTTGACATTAGAGAGCACATGAGTATTTGAGTCCTCTGTACTTGGGCTTTCAGATGTAGACTTAGCTACATTAATCACAGTTGATTTCCCATGGAGCTTCCAACAAACCTCACGAGTGTGTCCTTGCTTGTTACAAAAATCACAAAAACGAGGGATGTATTTCGTCCTCTACCTCGATTACTTCCTCGACCTCTTCCTCTGTTGTAACCATCATGACCTTGATTAGTAAGGGCAGAGTGATCAACTATGGTAGAGGATGGTGTATTTTCTTTGTAAACAGAAGAAACTTGAAGGAGTCTTTTGAACATTTCTTTGGTGTTTGGAATAGTTCCATCCCCAAGTATAGTGTTTTGAACTTGCTCAAATTCAGGTTCAAGCTTGGCAAGAGTAAGGACAACAAAGAATTTGTTACGTTGGGCAAGCTGCTCTTTTGGTGATCCTCCAAGAGGCATGAGCTTGTTGAATTCAGCCATAAGCCCTTGTACTTTCCCTAGAAATTTTTCCATTGACATCTCTGACTTCTTGACATTTAGTATCTCATTAACAATGGAGTAAAAGCGGGAGATTTCATTTGTGTAGAGAGACGACATGTTTCCATCATAGTTATCACGGCGCCCTGTTAAGTCGCGGCGCCCCCCGACCGACTTGTCGCCTAGGCGACAAGTTAGGAAGAAAAATATATATATAATTATATATATTATATATAATTATATATATATTAATATATATCTAAAATTCTAAAGTTTAAACATGCTAAAGTCTAAACTCTAAACAGTTAAAGATATTCAAGTATTCAAGCATTCAACATATTAAGGTACCAAGTTACCAACTACATAACACACAAGTAACACAACTACACAAGCAGAATACTAGAATAATCAACAAGACAACAATATCCAAGTTCAAAGTCTCAAAGGTCCATCAAGAAGTCATCAATATTTGTTTCTCTCCCATTGCCATCATTACTATCTTCATTTCCCACTTCATCATCATCTTGAACATCATCCTCATTTTCAATGTCTTCATCATCATTAGGAAAATGCTCTTCTTCATTTTGTTCTTCCTCATCTATCCTAGAACTAGAAGGAGTACTAGTAGAAGCATTGCGGCGTCGTGAATAGCTCAACATTTGTGCACGTGAACCTTCCCCCGCGTGAGCTCTTGTAGAAAGATGAGAGCCCTCAAGATTGTATGATGCACCACTTGCTTCATCAACAAGCCTCCATGAAAGATCACCCCCGGGATGAACATCATCACTAGATTCACCACCATTAATCCATTCATTGTCCCATTGGAACTCTTCTAAGACCAATGGATTAAAGTTAGAGCCTTGTTCACGCATCTTTTGAAACCTACTTGCAATTTTGCGATTGTATTGAACATAGACCAAGTCGTTCAATCTTTTATGCTCTAAGCGGTTTCTTTTCTTTGTATGGATCTAAAAAAGTAAAAGTAGAAACAAAAACAAGTTTAAAATTCTTGTATTAAAATTTGAGATAAATTATAATTTCTACAATACTATTTACTGTTTTACTAATTAGGAAAACTATACTCACAAATTCAAATGTGCTCCAATTGCGCTCACAACCGGAAGATGAACAACAAAGGCTTGTGATGCGCATTGCTAGTGTTTGAAGCTCAATGCTAAGTCCACCAAAAGCATTCCACCAATCAACTACAAAATAAGTTTAAGATTTATAATATTTAATATACTTTGTACTTAGTGTCTTAGTAGTTATTTACTTAGTATGATAGTATTACTTACGAGGAGTCTTTGCTTTTTGTTGCTTGACTGCTAATGGCATTCCAAAGTCATTCCTCATATTATCGAAGTTATCTGCTTGATTGCTGATCTTCACTTGCAAGTCATCATCGTCAATCATCTTATGAAGGATTGCATTGAACATGGCTCGTTGCTTACGAGCACATGTAGTATCCGTCGCCTTAAGGTCAAAGTATTTAGAGGGATTTAAAAATAAGGCGGCTCCATACAAATCCACTCCCATCTGATCATCCCATCTTCGTTCTACAATAGCCATCAACTTTCCCAATAGCCTTGGCTTGCTTGCAAATGATTCATTGAGCTTTTTCTTAGCAGTCAACATAGCCATCGTAAGCTCGGGCATAGCTGGAGTACTATCAGCAATAACGATCCTCAACACAATCAGAATGGGATGTGATGCCCTCAAGCAATCCTCAACCGCAGTCCAAAATCTATACGACAACACGATCTCACACACCTTTTTACCTGCTTCGGTGTTGGATAATTTTGAGCGAACCCAATCCTCACTAACAAATAGAGCTCTCAAAGCATTTTTGTGCTTGTACAAACTCTGTAAAGTGAGGAATGCTGTGGCGAATCGAGTAGCTCCAGCTCTTACAAGATCTTGCCCACCCGTATGCTCTCTCATGGCACTAAGGATTCGCCCATGTCTATAAATAAAAGTGGTAATATTTCTACCACTTGCAATCTTGGACTTGAACTCCGTCATCTTCCCAATGTCCTCTAGCATGAGGTCAAGACAATGTGCTGCACAAGGAGTCCAAAATAATGTCCGAATCTTTTCCTCCAAAAGTTTGCCCGCGGCTTTATAGTTTGCTCCATTGTCGGTCACTATTTGAACGACATTTTCTTTCCCAACTTCTACAACTTTTTGCTCCAACAATCCAGCTAACATTCTTGCATCGTGTGACTCACTCGATGCATCAACCGACTCCAAGAAAAAAGTCCCCTTGGGACTATCGGACTATTCACAAGAAAATTAATCAAATGTCTACCTCTCCTATCGGTCCACCCATCAGATATGAGTGTGCACCCGTATTGCTTCCAAGCAAGTCTATGTCTTTCTTTCAACTTATCAGTCGCTTGCTTTGAGTCCAAAAGGAGGGGTACTCGTAACTCATGAAAGCTAAGAGGCTTCAATCCCGGCCCCCATTGTCCAATTGATTCAACCATTACTTCAAAGCTTCTTGAATTAGCCGCATTAAATGGTATGCCATTCTCATAAAAAAAATCTGCTATATGTAGCATTGTCCTCTTTGTTTCTTCCTTACTCTTCGTACAAGCCTCAATTGTTCTTTGAGTAGGACCCTTGGAATGCCTCTCATCAACTACTTCTTCAGGGGTCTTTCTAAGTAGTGATGCAACGGATTGAGTTTGTTTTCCTACTCTCGGTTGCGGTTCGGCAAATCTCAACATGGTTTGTTTTCTCTTACTAGCCGTCCCGGAACTTGGATAAGTAACGGAATCGTTAGATGATGGTTGTGTTTCTTCCCTTGCCGATTCTTGCACATCATCATCCACATTATCATCCAAGACCGCCCTTGATATCTTCATTCTTGATGTGCCTTGCATATATTGTTGCATTTCCCTCATAATCTCCGTAGTTGTTTTGGGGCATTTAGCAACATCTCCGTAACCCGTCGCCAAGTGTTGTTTTAGTCTTTTGATTCCCGAATGCATTTGTTTGTGGCAAAGTGAACATTCGACTAAATCTTTGTTTGCCAAGTCCGGCCAAAAACCATACTTCCATCCCGGATCATTTGATTTAGCTTTCCTCTTAGGGTCGGTAGATGGATCATAGCTTTCATTTTCCGAATTTGCAGCCATAATTGAGTGTAATCCTACTGTCCAATCATGAAACAATGTACAATTTAAAAAAAAAAAATTAAAAAAAAAAAAAAGTAATGACCAAGTGGCAGGCAATGAGCACTGCCTCTGCTCACTGCCCCCACGTGGCCATAAGGCTTAAATACCAAACAAAGTCATTTGACTCATTTGTTTGGTATATAAAGCCACTACAAGTGCAAAACAAAGAGAAAACAAACAAAAAAAAGAAGAAAAAAAATCGACGAAGTGAGTCAGTGACGAACAACGAAGAATAGGGATGGCAACGGGGCGGGGCGTGGGCGGGGAGTATACTCCCCGTCCCCGTCCCCGCGACCACGACCCTATCCCCGTCCCTGCGACCCCGACCCTATCCCCGTCCCCGTCCCCATCCCCGGCGGGGAATTGAAAAAATTCCCCGTCCCCGTCCCCGCGGGGAATTTGGCGGGGACGGGGAATCCCCATCCCCAGTCAACCCATACTCAATGTGTGAAAGTAATACAATTTTTAAAAATAAAAAAACAAAAAAAATTGAAATCCATAGTCAATATATTCTAATAATCTAATTAATCCAATATATACACATTCAATATTCACAGTGCATGCAATGTAATCAATCAATATTCAATATATTCCAAATTTCAATTCATCCAAGATATACACAGTGTTTGAATAGTTGAATAGTATTGAGTGTGTTTTAAATTTTAATTTTAAAATCTAATAAACCTAATTAACTAAATAACTAATAATCTAATTCCTAATTCCTAATATAATATATAATATATATTTTTTAATTTTCGGGGACGGGGACGGGGCGGGGCGGGGAGGGGTATCCCCGTCCCCGTCCCCGTCCCCGGCGGGGAATTTAAAAAATTCCCCGTCCCCGTCCCCGATCCCCGAAATTTTTCCCCGTCCCCGTCCCCATCCCCTACGGGGACGGGGATCCCCGACGGGGACGGGGCACATTGCCATCCCTAACGAAGAAGAAAGAAGAAATCAGGAAGCTACTCACAGGGAAACGGTGGTCCGGCGACGGCGGTGGTCCGGTGATGGCGGTGGTCCGTGGGCGACGGCAGTGGAGGGAGGGAGGGTCGGCGTCGGAGTCGCACCGAAGGTCGCAGAATCGCACTGAAGGTCGCAGAGTCGCAGCAATTTCTTCGTTTTTGACTAAGTCTGAAAGTCTCGCACTTTCTATTTCTTATCTTAGGGTTTTTTCCTTATTAGTTGTTACTTAACTTTTGTTATAGAATATTCTGTGTGATTGAGTATCCTATATTTTAGGAAACTAGAATATTAGCATACCATATCAGTCTAGATCAAGCTAGTATTTAAGGGGAGGTTGACTAACCCTAAAGACAGACAGAAAGAGGAGAACTCTCAAGAGGTATTCTTTTTCTCTCCCAGTACTCTAACATGGTATTAGAGCCACTTCAATAAATTTTTTTTTTCCGTCGATATCCTGTCGTCACCGCCGGTTCAGAAGGGTCCGCCGGAGTCCGGCGACCACAGCTGCAGAAGTTTCCCGACGAACTGCCCTGCGCGTGGGCCTCATGCGCCACCTTCGCCGCCGCCACCCCCTCCACGCGCCGGCGCGTGGGCCGTCTCCGGCCACTGGAAAAATTTTCCGACGACAGTTTCTGGGTCGCCTAAGTCCCCTCTTCTCAGTTCTGGACTTAGTTTGGACCATCGCCGCTCCGGTTCTAAGGTTAGGTTGTTTCGTACCCCTCCAGGCTCACTTTTAGGCATAAATTCTGGTCTGTTTGGGCTCAAATATTTGTGGGTATGGCTGAGAATAAGTCTGTGGTTGTTACTGATATAGTTCCTGTTAGTTCTAAAATCACGGATTGTAAGCTTAATGACTCTAATTACTTGGAATGGATTCATGTCGTTAAACTTTATCTTACTAGTTTGGATAAGAGTGACCACTTGTCCAAACCTTTGGCTGACCAAGATGCTTCTTGGGTTCGAGATGATGCCCGTTTGTTCCTACAAATCCGTAATTCTATTGATGAGGGTGTTGTTGGGTTCATTAGTCATTGTGCCTCTGTTTAGGAGTTAATGGAGTATTTGGAATACTTGTATGCTGGAAAGGGGAATGTCACTCGAGTTTATGATGTTTGCAAGTCTTTTTTCCGTGCTGAAAAACGTGATTTGTCTCTCCCTGCATACTTTATGGAATTTAAGAAGACTTTTGAGGCACTTAATCAGCTTATGCCATTCACTGCTGACATTAAAGAGCAGCAAACCCAACGTGAACAGTTGGGTGTTCTGAGTTTTTTGGCAAGTCTCCCTTCTGAGTATGACACGGCGAGGTCTGCAATTCTTAGTAGCTCTGCAATCCCTTCTCTTGCTGATGTTTTCCCACGTCTAAGTCGATCGGTGCAATCGCAACCAAATGTGCTTGAGGCTACTATCCCGTCAAACAATGCTCTTGTTGGCCGTCATCCTCGCAGTGGGAATGGTAAAAATTCTCAGGGATACACTTCTGGTGGTATTGTGTGTCATTATTGCCATAAGCCTGGCCACATAAAAAGGGATTGTCGGAGATGGTTGAGGGAACGAGGAAATCCGACTGTTAATGTTGCATCCACCGCTGAGGCGTCTTCCAAGACGGTCACTGTCTCTGCTGATGAGTTTGCTGAGTTCTCTCAGTATCGAGAATCTTTAAAGCGTTCATCCTCCTCTTCAGTCACTGCTATTGCTGTCTCAGGTAATGCAACTACGTGCCTTCTCTCATCCTCCTCCAAGTGGGTTATAGACTCGGGTGCCACGGATCATATGACAGGTAACTCTAGTTTGTTTTCCACACTTTCTTCTCGCCCACATAGTTCCCCCGTCACCTTAGCAGATGGTTCTACCTCCCATGTTCTTGGGTCCGGTACCATTACGCCCATCCCCTCGCTCCCCTTGTCTTCTGTCTTGCATCTACCTAACTTTTCGTTCAACTTAATTTCAGTCAGCCAGCTTACCCGTACTTTAAACTGTTCTGTTACGTTTTTCCCTGATTATTGTCTGTTTCAGGATCTTTTGACGAAGAGGGTTATTGGTAAGGGGCGCGAGTCTGGGGGCCTCTACGTTCTTGACACCACGAGGCGAGAGCTTATTGCTTGTTCAGGTGCTGTCACTCCAGTAGAAGCTCATTGTCGTTTGGGGCATCCTTCCCTTCCCTTGTTGAAGAAATTGTGTCCGCAGTTTTCTAGTTTGTCTTCTTTACATTGTGAGTCGTGTCAGTTGTCCAAGCACCATCGTGTGCCTTTGAGTCCTAGAGTTTACAAACGAGCGTCTGCTCCTTTTGAGTTAGTACATTCTGATATTTGGGGTCCATGTTCTGTGACCTCTAAACTTGGTTTTAAATATTTTGTTACGTTTGTTGATGATTTTTCCCGAATAACATGGTTATATCTAATGAAGTCTCGTTCTGAACTTTTTGAGGTGTTTTGTGGATTGTGTGTTGAAATTGAGACTCAATTTGGTGTTCCTGTCAAAGTTTTACGTAGTGACAATGCAAAAGAATATTTTTCTTTTCCCTTTGTCTCTTATATGCGTAAGAAGGGTATGTTACATCAGTCCTCTTGTGTTGATACACCTTCCCAAAATGGGGTCGCTGAACGCAAAAATCGGCATCTGCTTGAAACTGCAAGGGCCTTGATGTTTCAAATGGGGGTTCCCAAGCAGTTTTGGAGTGATGCCGTTTCCACAGCCTGTTTCTTGATTAATCGGATGCCCTCTGCGGTCTTGGGTGGGAAAACACCTTTCCATACTCTGTATCCTTCAAAGCCTATGTTCCATGTTGACCCGCGTATATTTGGCTGCGTGTGCTTTGTTCGAGATGTCCGTCCCCATGTCACCAAGTTAGATCCCAAGTCTTTGAAGTGTGTGTTTCTTGGATATTCACGTGTGCAGAAAGGGTATCGGTGTTACTCTCCTGAGCTTGGTAGGTACCTTGTTTCCATTGATGTTGCCTTTCATGAGGACGTCCCTTTCTTTCCTTCATCCCCAGATGCTGTTCGTAAGGGGGAGGAGGATGATATATTGATGTATACGGTAACGTCGTCTGTTCCTTCCCCTGTTCCTACCCCTCCTGTCTTGCAAGTGTATTCTCGTCGACCTCGACCTGACACACTCGTACCGGCACCGCCTCCCATTCCAGACTCGGTACAGACTCCGTACCCTGACACCACCTCTATGTCATCAGATCCAGTCTTAATTGATGACCGTCCGATTGCCACCCGGAAAGGTAAACGTACCTGTACTTATCCTATATCCTCTGTTGCATCATATGATAGGTTGTCACATGCCTCGTGTTCTTTTATTGCTTCCCTTGAGTCTATTTCCATTCCTAAGACTGTTAGGGATGCCTTGTCCCATCCTGGGTGGCGAAATGCCATGATTGAGGAGATGAACGCTTTGGATCACAATGGTACTTGGGAGTTGGTCACTATGCCTGCGGGTAAAAGATCTATTGGTTGTAAATGGGTGTTTACTGTCAAAGTTAATTCTGATGGGTTTGTGGCTCGATTGAAGGCTCGTCTTGTGGCTAAGGGATATGCCCAAACTTATGGAGTTGATTATTCTGACACTTTTTCTCCTGTGGCTAAGCTTACTTCTGTCAGGTTACTCATCTCAATGGCTGCCATTCATGATTGGCCTTTGCATCAGCTTGATATCAAGAACGCCTTTTTGCATGGGGATCTTCATGAAGAGGTGTACATGGAGCAACCTCCTGGGTTTGTTGCTCAGGGGGAGTCTGGGAAAGTATGTCGTCTTCGGCGATCGTTGTACGCGCTGAAACAAAGTCCACGTGCATGGTTTGGAAAATTTAGCCAAGTTGTTGAGAAGTTTGGGATGGTGAAAGGCAAATCGGATCATTCCATGTTCTACAAGTGGTCCAAAACAGGTATCATCTGGTTGGTGGTTTACGTAGATGACATTGTCATTACAGGGAGCGACACCGAAGGGATTTTGTCTCTCAAGTCATTTCATCACAGTCAATTCCAAACGAAAGATTTGGGACCACTAAAGTATTTCCTGGGTATTGAAGTTATGAGGAACAAAACAGGTATATTACTCTCCCAACGAAAATATGTTATTGACTTACTTTCTGAAACAGGAAAACTAGGTACTAAACCATGCAATACTCCCATGATACCGAACTTGCAATTGTCAAAGGAAGGGGAATTGTTTGAAAATCCTGAGAGGTATAGGAGATTGGTTGGGAAGCTAAACTACTTGACCGTAACCCATCCAGATATTGCATACCCAGTTAGCGTTTTGAGTCAGTACATGTCATCTCCAACTATTGATCACTGGGCAGCTGTAGAGCACATCTTGAGTTACTTAAAGGGAGCTCCGGGACACGGAATTTTGTATAAGAATCACGGTCACACTCGGATTGAGTGTTTTACTGATGCGGATTGGGCAGGTTCCAAAGAGGATCGTAGATCAACAACTGGATATTGTGTTTTCTTTGGAGGTAATCTGGTTTCCTGGAAGAGTAAGAAGCAGAATGTAGTCTCTCGTTCGAGTGCAGAGTCTGAATATAGAGCGATGGCACAATCAACGAGTGAAGTAATGTGGATACACAACCTTTTGTATGAGTCTGGTTTCAAAGCTCCAATTCCTGCAAAGTTATGGTGTGATAACCAAGCTGCTCTTCATATTGCATCAAACCCGGTGTTCCATGAACGAACTAAGCACATAGAGATTGACTGTCATTTTGTACGTGAGAAGATACAACAAGGGTTAATCTCCACAGGATTTGTGAAGACAGGAGAACAACTTGGGGACTTATTCACGAAGGCCCTTACTGGAACCCGAGTCAGTTATTTGTGTAACAAGTTGGGCATGATCAATGTCTTTGCTCCAACTTGAGGGGGAGTGTTATAGAATATTCTGTGTGATTGAGTATCCTATATTTTAAGAAACTAGAATATTAGCATACCATATCAGTCTAGATCAAGCTAGTATTTAAGGGGAGGTTGACTAACCCTAAAGACAGACAGAAAGAGGAGAACTCTCAAGAGGTATTCTTTTTCTCTCCCAGTACTCTAACAACTTCAAAAAAAAAAAACCAAAAATGGGCCGGGTTTGCGGGTTCGGCGTCGGATTTGCGTCCATGGCGTCGCATGGGACGTCATGGCGACGCTTTGTCGACGCCATTTCTCGACTCGCCCATTTCAGGCGAGTCAAGCCCCCAGGCGTCCTGTCTCCACCGACAGGACGCCAAGGCGTCGCCTAGGCGACGCCATGATAACTATGGTTTCCATACTGATGAACATGTTTTGAATGACCTAAACATAGGAATCAAATCTGGGGCTAAGGATTGCCATAGTAGGCTGCACAATTGGGCATCGACCTTCTGCCAAACGTCTCTTTCATGTTGGATTTCTTACCATGACCCATAAATCATATTTCAACTGCTGATGCCCAATCTTGATAATTTTGGGACCCAATGAGTTTTTCAGTGGTAATAATCAAGTTTCTTGAGAGATTTGGGCCATAGACTTTATGTTGGGCAGGATTTTGGACACTGTTTAAAATTTCTCCTTTTGCTATATTTGTCCAAAAAATGTGGGAAAAACACATTGGGGTCGCAGAAAGGAGACGAGCTGATCTGGAGAATTTGGTTGGAAAAAATCGTCGGAGAAGTGGTACACGCGCCGGCGCGTGGAGGCATGTGAAGCCGGAGCTTTGATTGTGTGGAGGCGCTTGTGTATGCTGTTGGTGACCACAAGAGGATGGCCAGGGGCGCCGATACTTCTCTAGGAGTTTGACATTGTTTAAAATTTCCCCTTTTGCCATATTTGTCAAAAAAATGTGGGAAAAACATAGTAGGGTCGCAGAAAGGAGACGAGCTGATCTGGAGAAATTGGCTGGAAAAAATTGCCAGAAAAGTGATACAGGCGCCGACGCGTGAAGCCAGACCCTCAATTGTGTGGTGGTGCGTGTATAGGCTGTTGGTGACAGGAACAGGATAGACAGGGTCGCCGACAGTTCTCTAGATGGTTTGACACACCAGTTTGTGAAAAGAAATTCCCCAGGATGGAAAAATGAAAGAGAGGTAGTAGCAGTGTTAAGATTTACACACCTGTGTGTACTGTGTTTATCTGAAAAAGATTTCAGGCACCCAATAAGTAAGCTCTGATGCCATGTTGAGAAATCGTATAAATAGATAGGACAAAGTTTTCATCTTATTACGTACAAAGTTTCAGATTACACACCAAATATATAGGCAAACCCAAAGCATTGAAAAAGCACAAAATAAATTCTAGACTGCCCAAGAAACCTAATACTTTTCCCAAGAATGATAAGACTGCTAGAATAAATGTTAGACTACTCAAGACGGCGCCGGTGTGTGGGGCTCACGCGCTGGTCGGACGGGGCTTGAAACCTATCGGTGCGGTCGACGAATAGCGGCATGCCACAAAAATGGTGAAATTTAATTTGGCTGTGGGAACTGTGATTTGAGCTTTGCATGTAGTCATCATTAGCAGACACACAAATAAATAAACTATGTGCTTTGCATTTTCACCTATCAATATATGTATGTGCATTAGTGTGTACTTTGTGTTTTTCAGTTTTTACCTATCAATATGTGTGTCTGTTTTGCTTACTTTTCCGTCTTTATTATAGTGACAACAATGTTCAGTTGGGGATCATGGATAGAGAGGCTTCGTCACTATTGCACTATGCCCATGCTGGAGTAGTTGAGGCTGCACGTGATCTGTATATGCAAGTTGAAGGAAATTCTGTGGATGGTATGGAGCTATGGATATTATATTTCTGTTAATGCAAACCTACATAGTATTTAACATTGAAAATGAGTTCAAAAGATAGAATTAATGTCCCTGTGCTACTATTAGTAGTTTAGAACAATCGACTAGTAGCATAGCTAACTTTGTTCAAAAGCACAAAAGTCTCAACTCTCTACCTTTAGAAACACACTAAGTTTCTCATTCCTTAGGAAATTAGGTGGTTCCAGAGTGTTCTTATCTAGAATGATTTTGGATTTAGCAATGGATCCTAAGAGTTGCACGTGTAATTGATGTGTTGTTTCTTGGCATCCAAGCATCTAGGATTTCTAATTCACCATGGATAACCTCTTTGCATGAAAAGTGATACTTAACATTGTTCAACTAGGTCCAATGTTCGCATAAAAAAGGTGTTGTGCAATCCAGAAATGGGGCATTGAGCCTTTTTCCTTCACAATGCACCTTTCTTGAGGACATACTTTAGCAAGAACTATTCTAACTTATGTTTGGGTGTAAGAACCTGTGTATACTGATCTTTTTACTGCACCTTCTTCAAGAATTGATATAATGTTCTTTCCTTCCTTAAGAATCAACACCACACTTTTCTTTTATGTTTGTGGATTGTGTGTGTGCATACACTATGTGCCTAGACATAATTGTTCCTTGACTTGCCTCACCCTTTCTTTGGTCAGAGTGTTTACTCAATTTTCCAATGTATGGTACTATTTACGGCATAAATTCATTTGGAACTTCACTAAATGGTGATATATTCCAAAAGCTTGTGAGCTTATTAATTTGGTTATATATAGAATAACCAAAGGTTTTATTTTAAAAAGCTTTATTTTCGCCTTTGGATATTGCTATCAAATTTTTGATTGGTTATTTTAATGATCATGATAAAACTGCACATGCACACATACTTTTCACCTAAACAGGTGGGTTTCTCTCCTCATTATTGGGATCAGGATGTGAGTGTAGTGGATATAGTCTCCGAATAGTAGGGCATTCCCTTGGAGGAGCCATTGCTGCTTTGCTAGGCATCCGGGTAAGCTTTCTTTTAGTGGTTGTATTCCTCAAAAGATTTAATATATTTCTTTGTTTATTATTTGTACTTTTTAACATAGTGGAAAGTTCGGATATTTAGTTTATTACTTCAAGTTGAGGTAGCTCAGATAGTTGGAGTGTGTGGTTTGTAATTACGAAGTTTAATTAAAAGGTTTGAACCTTCACTTTGTTGACTAAGCTGTAACTGGCTTGGGGAGGTTCGGGACCAGCCCTAGCCCAGACCTCCTAGGGCCAGTGCAGGGTCCCCATTTGGGGGGGTGACCAACCAGTGTCTAGCTCTAGTTTACATCCTACACAAAGGATTATAACTGCCTATATAGATAAAAGTACATGCCTCATCGCCTCATCCCTCAATTCAGTCAAATTGGAAAAACAAATTTCTTGATGGTGTTAAATTAATACGGAATGGTTGATTTTTATGCTACAATATGAAATTGTGATTCAAATGATTAATACTTCTGTTGTTGTGAAGCAGTAAGTTATTCTAGACACTTTGTATTATTCATCATTTGCTTATATCTTCTTAAATGTTTGAACTGTCCAGGTTGAACTTCACTGAAACAGTGACTTTTTTTCTCCATTTCTTTGTATTTCTTCAAACAGTTGCACCGACAGTTTCCTAACTTACATGTTTATGCATATGGTCCTCTCCCCTGTGTGGATCTAGAGGTAGCAGATGCATGTAAAGAGTTTATTACCAGGTAACGTGAAACAAAGAATAAAAGATAAAAAAAAGAGAGGATGGTTTAATTATTAACTGTGCCTATCCTTTACATACATTGATGTTTCTTTTAAGTAGCTTATGCAGTGCACGCTCAAAAGCGCATATATTTTTCCTTCTATCCAGTGAGACTGACATAAATCTATGGAAATCCTCTCAGCGTTGTGTACAACGATGAATTTTCAGCACGCCTTTCTGTTGGATCAATTATGAGGCTTCAAGCAGCTGCACTTAAGGCACTATCACAAGATGGCATCATGGACTTGACCACACTTTCTAAACTCTCTAGACAATTCATGTTTCTGACCGTTTGCCAAAAGAACAAGGATGACCCAAATCTTCCAGACTCTCTCCATGGTACTCGTATTGTTTAACACTTTGATTTGCATTGGGTGTGTGCACTATGATGCTGCTCAAAACTGGGCATCATCCCTAACAGTTCTAGCACTATTGATACAGAAGTGTTCTCTAACAAGGTTTATCTGTCTCTCCAGAGAGCAGGCGGAATTCCACTTGGCAAGAAGTTGGTAGAGCAGAATGCTCAACCAACGCATCGGCTAGTTATGCTACACCATCCACTGGTATACTGTATGATGATGCTTTCACTCAATTTATGGAAGCTGTCCCTTGTCCGGGTAGCAGATCATCTTTGAATCTCCCGGAGATGTTTCTACCAGGTCTTCTCGTCCATATCATACCACAAAACGATGGCCATGATACGCCTTTCTGGAAGCGATGGAGAAGTTGGGAGACAAATTGCACGTTTAAGGCATATATTGCCAATCGAGAATCCTTCAGAGATTTTATAGTATCTCCATCTATTTTTCTTGATCATCTACCTTGGAGGTATGTGAACACGCTAGTATTCCCCTAAAGTACTTAGCTATACTGGATCTAACACTATCTTTACTTCCAGATGTCATAAAGCTCTGAAAGAATTGTTAAGGGTACAGAACAGTCAATTTCAACATGAGGGATTGCAAAGCGTACAATCAACAGGTATTAGAATGACATGAACTACTATGTCTTTTCTTTATATTTTCTATCCCCAAATGCAGTATAAATTGATTATGATCCACCTCACTCTTGTCATTTTTTTTTATCCGCTTTGAATATAATTAAAATTGTCCGGTCAATGTTCTCATTCCTTACAAAGTTACTCAACATTTGTCCCTTTGTCATTAATCCGTCCGTTAAACAATAATGATGCGGGACCAAAAAATGAGCCAAGAGTGTTAGCATTTTTTGTTCTTTGAGTGATGAGGAAAACTCATAGCTACTACTCGAGGGTATGTATTGTGTAAATTCTGTCTTAATATATTCTTTATAATATTAATTTTTTATTTTATTTTATTTTATTTTATTTCTTTAATACAGAATTTATATAAAAACATTTTTTATTAACATATAAATTCTATATTTTATATAATTATATGCTGTTTATATTTTCCTTCCGAGTATAATATTTTCTTCACCTCACTCAGTTCTACCACTTCTTAAACATAAATAGAAAATATTAAATATAATATTTAAATCATAAATACTAATTCGTAAACAATAAAAAATTGTTCACTTAAAGCGAATTATTTTAAAGGAACAAAATCATAAACTCTAAGGGGTGTGTTGAGTATATGTCATATAAGGATAAATGGAACACATATTTAGGTTGAACATATAGTATAGAGGTATATTTGTATTTGTACTTGTATATGTTTAGGGTTACATATAATGTGATGCTTGAAACCTTGGATAATTGATTATCATCATCACAATTTATTAAAGAACAGATTAACTAGTGTTGACGTAGAGTCGTGGATACATTGTCGAACCATGTAAATCTTACATACTTTAATTTTTGTCATTGTTATTGTTTCTTGTTCTAGTTAATTTTAACGAATTGGTATTAAAGCACGGGTAAGATGGTCAGTTCGAGTGGCACAATAAGTTTTTTTTTTTGAAAAACTTGTAGGTAGAACAATCAGCTGAAGGATCGTGCCGCATGAATCCTTTGGTTTATGTGTTGCAAATGAAATCATGTATCGTATTTTGACCTTGGCAATCCCAAAAGAAAATTGGATAAATTGAAGTGTTAGTTCATGAAAAATTTTTGATGACCAAACTCTATCTAAGGCTTTAGGCTTATGATGTAGGAGGGTTCAGACTTGGTATATCATATTAATGTCTTTAGTAAAATAATCACAAGTTTTACTAGACATGATGTCAAAGATTGAAGAAGGCAAGACGATGATCTTGTTATGTTCACTGTCTTTTTTCTTTCAACATCTGTTTGTTATTCTGATGAGAACAGAAGTTTTGAATTTCAAAATCTAATCTTACCAAGATACATCAGATAGAGATCTATAGAGAGACTTCCACTATAGTCTCCTAAACTCTAGGTAAGACTAAACCAAAGGAAAGCAATCGTTATGCGTTGGACCCGTGTCCAGCATGCTTGCTGGACACGGGTAACAGTGCCAACGGCACTGTTATCTCCTTTTTTTTTTTTTTTTTTTTTTTTTTTTTTTTTTTTTTTTTAAATTTCAGACCGCTTTATTGTAAGAGTATATGTTCATAATTTTATTACTATATGTTAATAACTATACGTTCATAACTCTATAACTGTACGTTCATAACTCTATAATTGTACATTCATAACTCCATAACTGTACATTCATAACTCCATAATTGTACATTCATAATTTTCGAAGCTCTATGTTCACAATTTTAGAGCTCTATGTTCATAATTTTATCACTATATGTTCATAATTGTAAGTTATAATGTTAGAGCTCTTTGTTCATAATTTGATCAATAACTGTACATTCATAATTCCATACTGTAGATTCATAATCTCATAACTGTAGATTCATAACTCCATAACTGTAGATTCATAACTCTATAATTGTACATTCATAACTCCATAACTGTACATTCATAATCTTCGAAGCTCTATATTCACAATTTTAAAGCTCCATGGTCATAATTTTATCACTATATATGTTCATAATTGTAAGTTCATAACGTTAGAGCTCTGTGTTCATAATTTCATAATTGCATAACTGTATATTCATAACGGAATAACTGTACATTCATAACGGCATAACTGTACGTTCATAATCCAAAAAAAAAAAATAACGCCGTTAACGGCAAAACGCGCGCGATTTTTTTTTTTTTTTTTTTTTAACTAAATGACGCGTTTTTTTTAAAAAACGACGTCGTTTTGGGCCGGTGTCCACAATTCAATGTGGACACGGGTCCAGGGCATAATTTGCCAAAGGAAAGAGAACCACTATTACAAAGCATATAATAAAACATTATTAAACATAAATATTAATAACACTAACACACCCCTTCAAGCTTAAGGGGGTTGTGAAACGACGTTGAGCTTGTCCCGAAGAGCCTGGAACCGTGGAGCAGGTAAAGGTTTGGTGAAGACGTCTGCTATCTGATCTTTCGTACACACAAAACTGACAACAAAATCTCCGGAAGCTACCTTGTCCCGAACTAAGTGATAGTCGATTTCCACGTGCTTTGTCCTTGCGTGGAAAACCGGGTTGGCTCCCAGATAAGTCGCGCCAAGGTTATCACACCATAGAGTAGCCGACTTCCCGGAATGCAACCCAAGTTCCCGGAGAAGAGATACGATCCAGGTGACCTCTGCCGAAACATCTGCTAGGCCCTTGTACTCTGCCTCTGTCGATGACCGTGCCACGGTGCGCTGCTTCCGTGATAGCCAGGACACCAAATTGGTGCCAAGATAGACCGCATAGTCACTAGTAGACTTCCTGTTGATCGGACACCCAGCCCAGTCTGAATCTGAATAAGCATGTATGTCGGTGCTAGATGACGGTGTGATGCGTAGGCCATAACCTTGTGTCCCCTTGACGTAGCGTAGAACCCTCTTAAGCAAACCCCAGTGTTCATCCGTTGGCGTGTGCATGAACTGACACAGCCTATTGACCGCATACGACAGGTCTGGTCGGGTGATAGTCAGGTACTGCAGGGCCCTTACTAGTCGATGGTACTGCGTTGGATTTTCAAACTCATCCGTTGACGGTGTAGCAGACTATGTGACAGCAGCGGGAGTAGCCAAGGGTTTACACTCTGACATGCCGGCTCGGACTAGAATGTCCTTCATATACCTGCGCTGAGATAAGAGAAGACCATTGTCAACCGGAAGCGTTTCAATGCCCAAGAAAAAACTCGGTGTTCCCAAATCCCGAATTTTAAAGACTGTTGACAGACGTTGTAGCACAGTGTCAATGAGTGGTGAGTCATTGCCCATTCAGATAATGTCGTCATCGTATACCAACAAGAAAACCCGTGAGTCACCAGTAGTGTAATGGAACAGTGAGACATCAGTCTTGGACGCCAAAAACCCTGCTGATGTAAGATACTCGTGTAGTCGCTTGAACCAGGCCCGCGGTGCTTGTTTGAGACCGTATAGGGAGCGCTGCAGATGACATACGTGACCCGGATGTGCTAGGTCGTCATAACCCGGAGGCTGCTTCATATAGACTGTCTCGACTAGGTGCCCATTAAGAAAAGCGTTGTGAACATCTAACTGTCGTAGTGTCCATTGGTTCGAGACAGCCAGCGAGAACAATAGACGAACCGTAGTTGGTTTAACTACGGGACTGAACGTGTCAAAAAAGTCCTCCCCCGCTACTTGGTTGAACCCTTTTGCAGCTAAGCGTGCCTTGTATCTTTCAATTGTACCGTCAACTTTTCGCTTTGTGCGAAATACCCACTTGCAGCCGATGATGTTCATAGTCGGAGTAGCTGGAATTAACTGCCAGGTATTGTTATGTAAAAGGGCATTAAACTCCTGATCCATGGCGTCACGTCAATGTGGGTGACCCACGGCTTGGGAGTAGCAAGTGGGATCCGCAGTAACAGTTAAAGCGTGAAACTCTTCATTCGACCCCCGAGTCTTGCGCCGAGTCTGCATTGTATGCGATGGGTCCGGAGGTGGACCCGTTGTGGCCCGAGGCTTGCGGCCACGTGGTTTCGGCCTGGTGGGAGCAGGTAGAGCGATGGGCTCCGGTTCCTGTGGTAGCGGCGGTGCATGACTTATGGGTTGATAGTCATTGTGCACCACTATTGGCCCAACCCCCCATGGCACAGGCGGTGTTGAGCGGGCGTTAACCTGCGTAGACTGCATAGCAAACGGAAAAACAGTTTCGTCAAGTCGGACGTGACGGCAGATAAAGATTTTCCCCGTGCGGGGGTCCATGCACCGATATCCCCTAAAGGAAACAGGGTAACCTAGGAAGATACAGGGTGCCGAGCGATATTCTATCTTGTGCTGATTATAAGGCCTTAGATAAGGATAACATCGGCACCCGAAGACACGGAGAAACATATATGTAGGCTGGGTTTTGTATATCATATAGTGTGGGCTTTGGAATTGTATAGCTGAAGACGGGAGGCAATTTATTAGGTATGTGGCTGTTTCGAAGGCATAGTCCCAATATTTTAGTGGGGTTGAACTCTCGGCCATTAAAGCTAGGCCAGTTTCGACTATGTGCCGGTTTCGGCGTTCGACTCGACCGTTTTGCTCATGAGTATATGCACACGATTGTCGGTGTGAAATACCAAGAGACTTAAACACTTTGTGGAGGCGGCGATATTCGCCCCCCAGATCAGACTGAATGGCTTTGATAGAACGCGAAAATCGTCGTTCTACCATTGCCCTGAACAACTCAAAAATTTTATATATATCGGTTTTAATCCGTAAGGGATAAAACCAGGTAAAGCGAGAGTGATCGTCTACAAATACCACAAAGTAGCGACTACCAGAATCAGAAATAACAGGTGACGGACCCCATATGTCCGTATAGATTAAATCTAATACATTGAAACTAGAAGTGGGTACTCTATCTAATACATTGAAACTAGAAGTGGGTACTCTATCTAATACATTGAAACTAGAAGTGGGTACTCTATCTAAATTGAAACGTGCCGATTTGTCGAGTTGACACGCCGTACACACTTCAGACGAACTGGTATTATTTGTTGTGACTGGACAATCTTTCAGGACACGCTGTAGGACTCGATGATGCGGGTGACCTAACCGCTGATGCCACACTGTGGAGGAAGCCCGTGCGGAGATGTACGCAAAATGGGACCGTGGCACCAACAATTTGTATAAGCCGCCCGAGGTGAAACCCTTAAGAAGAACCGCCTTGGTGGTGCAGTCCTTCACAAAGAAAAGATTTTTATGAAACTCGAAATATACATTATTTTCATTAGTAAACTGGTGAACGGATAAAAGGGGTACTGATAATTTGGGTACGTGTAATATACGAGACATATGTAAATTATTAGACACGGAAGGAATAACGGCATGTCCTACACGGGAAATCCCCAAACCTGCGCCGTTGCCGACCTTCAAAACATCTCCACCGGTGTACGGATCCGAATGGCTCATCATCTGTTCATCAGGAGTAGCGTGTGTAGACGCTCCTGTATCTGGAAACCAAGCATCACCCAAGAGAGTACTGCTTTGATTTTCTACGGCAACATTGACATTCGGTGGTGCACGTTCATTATATCGCTGGTAACAATAATAAGCAGTATCACCAAAGGCTTTGCAGATCTGACACTTTGGACCATTTCCGCGACCTCCTCTGCCATTTCTGCCGCGACCGCCGCCTCGACCGCCCTTACGGCCACCGGAATTCTGCCGCCCACCGGAGTTCGGATGCCCGTCGTGATGTTGACCGCGACCTGCGTAGAAGGCCGCTGGGGATCCAGTGAGTTCTGAGTGACCGGCCACCGAAAATTCATCAGATATGATGAACTCTTGCGCCTGGAGCAGATCGGCTAACTGAGGCAGTGTGATCGGCGTACCAGTCACGGTGAGGCTGCTGGCCAACGCCCTGTACTTCGGTCGGAGTCCTCTGAGAACATAAAGGATCTACTCATCCAGTGACAACGGGCGACTGTTGAGAGACGGGGCTTCCACGAGCAGCTGTGCCTTCCCCAGGTATTCGGCCGGCGTTCCATTCCCTTGTCTGAGGGTTTGAAACTGCCCTAAGAGGCTAAGACATCGTGCGCGGGTTGACGAAGCTAACGCCGATGTAATGGACAGCCATACCTCCCTCGAAGTGTTCCGGCCGACGGCGAGGTGCATTACCTCGTCGGAGAGGGAGGAGATGATCAGTGAGAGTATTGTCTGATCTTGCTGAATCCAAGAGCCATACGCCGGATTCGGAACTGGGGCGGAGGCAGTGGCAACTGCCGTGGAGTCGCCGGACTGCTGCGCAGTGGTGAG